GGTTTTGAACTCACAATTCTCCTGCCTCAGCCTCCTCAGCTGCTGGGACTACAAAAATGCGGTCTGCCATCTAACAATTAAAATTGTAAAGAGTTGAATTTTTTCCAACACCTAGAAGGTAAATTTTGACCACCAACAGAATTTCAACATATACTTCAGCCTCCATAACTCTGGGCTCATATTATGTCAAATTAATGTATAAACCCACATGATCCCAGTAAAAGTATCAGGCTTTTTAAGCATAGAATTATATAATGACTTAAATAACAAAACAGCAGGAGTATTTTGAACACCTGTGCATGCTAGCTAGCTCAGTTACTGAAAGGAAAGTGACCAGAACACTCGGAGCAACCAAGAGATCTTTATTGCAGCAGTGCAACAGAGGAGAAAAGAGAGAGAGAAAGAGGAGAGGGAGAGAGAGAGCAAGAGAGAGAGAGAGAGAGAGAGCAAGAGAGAGAGAGGCTCGACAGGAGGGAGTTTTTATAGCCCAAATCTAATGGGGCCTCTGGGTCTGCAAGCTGCCTTGTTGGCACAAGGGGGGTTGAGTGTTCAGCCTTGATGCAAACAGGTGATAAAGGACCTGACAGAGGGGTTGGAGTGGCCAGGTCACCCTGCAGCTAACTTTGTTTGGCATGTCCTGCAGACAGCTTAGTTCAGCCTGTCCTGCACCTAACAGTTACTACTATCTGCTGTTTCTTAGGAAGGAAAACGGTCCAAGGATTGTCAGGCACTGTGACAGGCAGAGTGCTTTGCCTTGGATCCCTCAGGATGCAGGACAAAGTCCCTGGCCCCAAGGGTGCTGTGCTGCAGAGATCAGTGGCCACAGGTGTGAAAAGTAAGAAGTCCAGTGCCCACTTCAGAATACAGTACGTAGCCTTGAAATAAAACTGGGAAGCAGGCAAGGCAGCAGAGGGGGGTACAGCAGAAGGGAAAGTCACACCACAGCACCCAGCCCACGGCTGCGGCAGATCCAAAGTCCATGCCCCTGAGCAGCCCCTGGACAGGCCAGAGGGGAAGGGTCGGCCTGACCAACAGAGAGAGAGTGTTCCTCTGGGGGAGAAACTTAGGTTCTTTGTAAGTGTCAGAATGCATGCACCCCAGAAGGCTTTCCCGCCACAAGGGAACCAAGGGAGGTGGGGACGACTGGAGGTACATTTCTTTAAGTCGCCCAGTAGGAGGCAGTAAAGCCCGGGTGAGGTTCTGCGAGACTGCACACCTCGTAGCCCTCGCCAGTGAGGAACCTGGGGAGGGGCCTTGCGCTCTGGGGTGAGTCCTCGTCACCCTGATCTGGTGTGCCTCTCCCCAGACACCCCTCTTGCAAGGCCATCGTTAGAGAAGCCCACTTTTTGCTGCACCTCGTGTCCATTCCTGGATGGCTGTGTGTGTCTCACAGGCCAGGGGTCAGCTGGTCCTCCACCTCCAGCTCCTGAAGAGCTGCCCGGTCCCTTTCTGCTCATTCCCTTCCCGGTCACTGTGAAGAACCCCCCGAGGCAGTCAGCCCCCGGCTGGGCAGCTGAGGCCCGGACAGGGGCGTTTCTGTGGAATTCCAGAGTTACTCTGCCTCCAAGGGCCTCTGGGGAGCTGCCCAATGCTCCCTGGAGAAAGGCCGTGTCCAGCGGCCCGCTCGCCCCTCTGCCCTCCGCAGGGGAGGTGGCGGTAAAGCAGAGCGGCTCTGTGCTGGCCGGTCGCTCTGTGGAATTGTGTTCACTGGAAGAACCAACTGGTGCACGATGGAGGCTGTTTCCTCCCCAGGACCCCCAGTCAAGTCACCATCCCGGTGCTCTTGGCCTGTGGCAATGGCCCTGGCGACCAGCACCCCCACACCCAGGACCAGCAGCGTCTCCCTGGGACCCCATCCTGAACCAACCTCAGCAAAACAGGGCTAAGGAGAAGAGGAGAGAAGGGCTTCCAGGTGCACGGGGGTCTCGGCTCGGCTACCCCCGTCTGTGCCTCTGTCTCTCCCTTCTCCTCTTGTCCGCCCTTCTGCCTGGGGCCTCCTTCCTCTGCTCACAGGGTTAGAGGTCCTGAGGAGAACTGCACTCACTCCTCTCTATCCAGGACAACAGGCGCCAGGACAGGAGTGTCCCCCAAGACACCAAGACACGTCACAGAGTGGTGCCACGAGGAGTGGGCGGGTCCAGGAACCCAGGAGTCCTGAAGGACCTTCCACACCTCAAGGTATATTCATGGGATTCACATCAGGGTGACATTGCAAAGGAACGTGAAAAGAGACAGACTGGGTCTGTGGCCCCCGTGTGAAGTGGGCACAGCCTCATGCTGAGAACGGAGGCTGGGGCTGTGACCCACCCTGACCGGTGGGGAGGCAGATGGGAGTGAGGGGCCCACTCAGGCCCGGCTAACCAGGCTAACCAGGCTACCCAGGCTACCCAGGCTAACCGCATCTGCACCTGTGTGTCTCCTGCCTTTGTCTGCACCCTCCGCGTCTCCTGCCCTGCCTCCCCCCTTTGAAATTCTCCTTAACTTCAGATGCTTCAGACATCCTGTTACAGAGCGAGGGCCACCGTGGAGCAGAGGTGAGGCCACCGGGTCCTAGTTACCAGTTCGTGTGGTCACACTGGCAAGGTTTCAGACGAGTGGCTCTGAGGAGCGGGCGTGAGTTCATTGGAAGGATAGGAAAGGGACAGAGTGGGTCCTCTCAGAGGGCAGAGTCGGCGCATCTCTCCTGAGCTCCCGTTTTATTGAGGTCCTAGGGAAGTTTCCAGAGAGTCTCACCCAAGTCCCCTTCTTGGCTTTTGACGACAGAATTGCCGCAGATTTCCAAGATCCCCCTGAGGCTCAGTAAGGGAGGAGGCGACCTGGGTCTCTGGGTTCTAATCATCACATCTCCCTGAGTTGGAGTCTGGTCTCTGTAAAATTCCCCTCCTTCAGGGAAAGTTGTGTTCTCCCTATCAGCAGGGAGAAGGCAGGGGGAGGTTTTTGGACCCCGTATCTCCCCTGCAGATAACAGATGATTTGCTGAGAAATGTCACCTATCCTGTTGACTTAAGCCAACAAAGCTGCAGGGCAATTGCTTTTAAAAAGAAAGTGCTGGGGGTTGTACTTAGGCCCAGTTGATAGAACTATTTGACCTCGGGTTCCGCTACCCTTGGCTGTCTGTCACCTCTCAGCAGGTAGAACCTCTCAGACCTGCATAGGTCAGAACCTTGAATTAGTTTCTTTGTCTCCCTTCAAAGCTGTCCATGTACAAAACCTATTTCCCCCCGAATTTGCCTCTCAACATTTCTGTAGCAGTGAGCATCTTGGCCAAGCCTCTTCCTCCTGTGTGGCATGAGTACCGCTCAGTAGCAAAGGCACTGGATTATTCAATAAGTCTGTCCAGGCCAAAGGCTGGCAACTTGTAAAAAAGCAGAGCTGTCTCCGTCGCTACTGCATGGACCAACATACATTCCATGTTGATCAAAGATGGAAAGTTCTTTAAAAGTACAACCTAAGAGGCTGGGGATGTAATTCAGTGGGAGAGAACATGCTGACTCTGAGTCCAGGCTTCACCCTCAGCACTGAGAACAAAATTACAAGAGAGAGACACAAAAAGAAAAGAGGATTTTTTTTTGTTTGCTTGTTTATTGCTTATTTGGGGGCAAGCATCTTGCTAGGCTTCCCTGGAACTCACAATCCTCCGGCCTCTGCCTAGCTGGGATTACAGTTGAGCACCACCACACCTGGCCTGAAAGGAATTTCATTTTTTCTTATTTATTTTTTGTAGTATCGGGGATTAAACAAAGAGCTATGCTAGTATCTACCAGGCAAGTGACCCAGCACCATGCCCATCCCAGCCCTGGAAAGATAATTTAAAAAAATATGTCTGGAGAGGTTTTCCTAAGCATGACCAACAACATGCCATGACATGTTTAATAAGTTAGCTTAAAAAAATCTGTACATGGCCACGTATGCCATCAGCAAAAAGAAAAGGACTGGGTTTTTAAACAAGCAACAAACATTTAGAAGTTAATGAGAAAGAAAATAATAAGTGAAAAATATTAAAAACCACTTATAGGAAAAGAAAATCCAAATGACTTATACATAGAAATGGATGCTCGGTCTTGCCTGTAATTAAGAAAATGTGAAGTAAAGCAAGCGGCTACCTCTTTTCACATAGTGGAGTGGCTGGCTTGAAGGTGCTGTGGATGGGCGTCACCTTGCCCAGCCCGTTGGCCTGGTGTAAGTCAGCGTGACCTTCAGAGGATGACTGGTCAGTGGTCCAAGTCGAGAATTGACATGGGCCTACTCAGCAATTCTACTTCTGTAAATTTCTTCTGTGGCACCTGCACATGTTTTCAAAACTGCTGTGGGGTTGTATATGCTCACATTTTGTTTAGATTTGCTGGAAACAATTTACCTGCTGATAAGAGAGGGCGGGGACCAGGTAAATTGCTACTGCCTTACAAGGAGGTGAATCTGCCTCTAATCGTGTTGACATGTGGCCAAGACTCTTATTAAATTCACACCATGAATACCAGGGGAAAACACATAGGGTAATTCCACTGGTGTCCGAGACTCTGCTTCTGAGTTAAGACAGACACAACCCAGAGACAGAGGAAGGGCCAGGGATCGGGTCCTGGCACCCCCCTGCTCAGGAACCCAGCAGGGCTCAAGGTCTTCCCAGGGCTTCCAGGGGCGTCTGTGACAAACGTGTCGTGAACCTGAAAGTGCTATGTCATTAGCATGGACGGAGCACCTCGGCATCCCTCCAAGTGTCAGGTCTTACTAAGTAACAACAACTACCACGCTATGCCACTTTCAGTAGTGGCACTTCACTGAATACGTGTGGGTCACCTGGTGTCATGGGCCGCAATCACAGGCTCTTTTATTCCAATCTTAATTTCTAATATCTGTAACCATCAAGTCACACACATCATACTGCACACAAATCTATATATTATAGAAAGGCCAAGGAAGGGTTAAGGAGCCACAGGGGTCAGGAGGCTGAGCTGAGAGCAAAGGTGGACATCAGATAGAGATGCAAAGGTCACTGTGGGTGGACAGATAAGATTAGGAACCTGCCAAAGAACTTTTCCAGGGCACAGAGCTATTAAAGCACAGGAACTTATTCCAGGCCTAGATCCGAATGGAGGGCAGTTTCACGGTGTCAGCTTGAGTGGTCAGCTTGGAATGGGACTACCATGGTGATCCTGGGCAGGAGAAGCCATGCAGTGCCGAACGAAGACTGAGGACAGAGATTCGGACCTTGTTCACTGTGGTGATCTTCCTGGCCAAGTCTGAAGACCAGTGACCAGGTGAGGGGCCGAGGGCCACGGTGTCCAGACTTGGGGTGCTCCTACTTTTATGGGCCTCTAGTGAGGAGGTTGCTTCATTTGAGGCTCGGGTGTGTTTGCTGGTGTGTTCTATAAGCTCGTGGGCCTGGTTTTCCCAAAGGAGTTTGATAAGTCCCTGCGTCTATATGCTTCTGATTAATTCAACAAGTGCACAGGTGGTCGTTTTTATTGGCATGATTAATTTGATTTCACCTTGTGCCTTGTGGTTGTGCCTGGCATACAGTGGTTGTTTACTTGTACAAACAGGAATAAAGTCACTCAATCTCTGCCCTTAAACTCAGAATAGAGTAGTTCTTGTCAAACTGCTGATTTGAAAATGGAGAATCAAAGGTTAGGAGCAGCCTGAGGACTGCTGTTCTGCACACCATGGAGTCACCAGGGCAGGCACGGCCTGAGGACTGCTGTTCTACACACCATGGAGTCACCAGGGCAGGCACAGCCTGAGGACTGCTGTCCTACACCATGGAGTCATTAGGGCAGGTGCAGCCTGAGGACTGCTGTTCTGCACACCATGGAGTCACCAGGGCAGGCACAGCCTGAGGACTGCTGTCCTACACCATGGAGTCACCAGGGCAGGCACAGCCTGAGGACTGCTGTCCTACACCATGGAGTCACTAGGGTAGGTGCAGCCTGAGGACTGCTGTTCAGCACACCATGGAGTCACCAGGGCAGGCGCAGCCTGAGGACTGCTGTCCTACACACCATGGAGTCACTCAGGGCAGGCACAGCCTGAGGACTGCTGTCCTACACACCATGGAGTCACCAGGGCAGGCACAGCCTGAGGATTGCTGTCCTACACACCATGGAGTCACTCAGGGCAGGCACAGCCTGAGGACTGCTGTCCTACACACCATGGAGTCACCAGGGCAGGCACAGCCTGAGGACTGCTGTTCTACACACCATGGAGTCACTAGGGCAGGCACAGCCTGAGGACTGCTGTTCTACACACCATGGAGTCACCAGGGCAGGCACAGCCTGAGGACTGCTGTTCTACACACCATGGAGTCACCAGGGCAGGCACAGCCTGAGGACTGCTGTTCTACACACCATGGAGTCACTAGGGCAGGCACAGCCTGAGGACTGCTGTCCTACACACCATGGAGTCACCAGGGCAGGCACAGCCTGAGGACTGCTGTCCTACACACCATGGAGTCACCAGGGCAGGCACAGCCTGAGGACTGCTGTTCCACACACCATGGAGTCACCACAGAAGGCACAGCCTGAGGACTGCTGTTCCACACACCATGGAGTCACCAGGGCAGGCACACCCTGAGGACTGCTGTCCTACACACCATGGAGTCACCAGGGCAGGCACAGCCTGAGGACTGCTGTCCTACACATCATGGAGTCACTAGGGCAGGCACAGCCTGAGGACTGCTGTTCCACACACCATGGAGTCACTAGGGCAGGCACAGCCTGAGGACTGCTGTTCTACACACCATGGAGTCACCAGGGCAGGCACAGCCTGAGGACTGCTGTTCTACACACCATGGAGTCACTAGGGCAGGCGCAGCCTGAGGACTGCTGTCCTACACACCATGGAGTCACCAGGGCAGGCACAGCCTGAGGATTGCTGTCCTACACACCATGGAGTCACTAGGGCAGGCACAGCCTGAGGACTGCTGTTCTACACATCATGGAGTCACCAGGGCAGGCACAGCCTGAGGACTGCTGTCCTACACACCATGGAGTCACTAGGGCAGGCACAGCCTGAGGACTGCTGTCCTACACACCATGGAGTCACCAGGGCAGGCACAGCCTGAGGACTGCTGTCCTACACACCATGGAGTCACCAGGGCAGGCACAGCCTGAGGACTGCTGTCCTACACACCATGGAGTCACCAGGGCAGGCACAGCCTGAGGAGTGCTGTTCTACACACCATGGAGTCACCAGGGCAGGCACAGCCTGAGGACTGCTGTCCTACACACCATGGAGTCACCAGGGCAGGCACAGCCTGAGGACTGCTGTCCTACACACCATGGAGTCACCAGGGCAGGCGCAGCCTGAGGACTGCTGTCCTACACACCATGGAGTCACCAGGGCAGGCACAGCCTGAGGACTGCTGTTCTACACACCATGGAGTCACCAGGGCAGGCACAGCCTGAGGACTGCTGTTCCACACACCATGGAGTCACCAGGGCAGGCACAGCCTGAGGACTGCTGTTCTACACAGCATGGAGTCACCAGGGCAGGCACAGCCTGAGGACTGCTGTCCTACACCATGGAGTCACCAGGGCAGGCACAGCCTGAGGACTGCTGTCCTACACCATGGAGTCACTAGGGCAGGTGCAGCCTGAGGACTGCTGTTCAGCACACCATGGAGTCACCAGGGCAGGCGCAGCCTGAGGACTGCTGTCCTACACACCATGGAGTCACTCAGGGCAGGCACAGCCTGAGGACTGCTGTCCTACACACCATGGAGTCACCAGGGCAGGCACAGCCTGAGGATTGCTGTCCTACACACCATGGAGTCACTCAGGGCAGGCACAGCCTGAGGACTGCTGTCCTACACACCATGGAGTCACCAGGGCAGGCACAGCCTGAGGACTGCTGTTCTACACACCATGGAGTCACCAGGGCAGGCACAGCCTGAGGACTGCTGTTCTACACACCATGGAGTCACCAGGGCAGGCACAGCCTGAGGACTGCTGTCCTACACACCATGGAGTCACCAGGGCAGGCACAGCCTGAGGACTGCTGTCCTACACACCATGGAGTCACCAGGGCAGGCACAGCCTGAGGACTGCTGTCCTACACACCATGGAGTCACCAGGGCAGGCACAGCCTGAGGACTGCTGTCCTACACACCATGGAGTCACCAGGGCAGGCACAGCCTGAGGACTGCTGTTCTACACACCATGGAGTCACTAGGGCAGGCACAGCCTGAGGACTGCTGTTCTACACACCATGGAGTCACCACAGAAGGCACAGCCTGAGGACTGCTGTCCTGCACACCATGGAGTCACTAGGGCAGGCGCAGCCTGAGGACTGCTGTCCTACACACCATGGAGTCACTAGGGCAGGCACAGCCTGAGGACTGCTGTCCTACACACCATGGAGTCACTAGGGCAGGCACAGCCTGAGGACTGCTGTCCTACACCATGGAGTCACTAGGGCAGGCACAGCCTGAGGACTGCTGTTCTACACACCATGGAGTCACCAGGGCAGGCACAGCCTGAGGACTGCTGTCCTACACACCATGGAGTCACCAGGGCAGGCACAGCCTGAGGACTGCTGTCCTACACACCATGGAGTCACCAGGGCAGGCACAGCCTGAGGACTGCTGTCCTACACACCATGGAGTCACCAGGGCAGGCACAGCCTGAGGACTGCTGTCCTACACACCATGGAGTCACTAGGGCAGGCACAGCCTGAGGACTGCTGTTCTACACACCATGGAGTCACTAGGGCAGGCACAGCCTGAGGAATGCTGTCCACACCATGGAGTCACCAGGGCAGGCACAGCCTGAGGACTGCTGTTCTACACACCATGGAGTCACCAGGGCAGGCATAGCCTGAGGACTGCTGTCCTACACACCATGGAGTCACTAGGGCAGGCGCAGCCTGAGGACTGCTGTCCTACACCATGGAGTCACCAGGGCAGGCACAGCCTGAGGACTACTGTCCTACACACCATGGAGTCACCAGGGCAGGCACAGCCTGAGGACTGCTGTTCAGCACACCATGGAGTCACCAGGGCAGGCACAGCCTGAGGACTGCTGTCCTACACACCATGGAGTCACCAGGGCAGGCACAGCCTGAGGACTGCTGTTCTACACACCATGGAGTCACCAGGGTAGGTGCAGCCTGAGGACTGCTGTTCTACACACCATGGAGTCACTAGGGCAGGCACAGCCTGAGGACTGCTGTTCTACACACCATGGAGTCACTAGGGCAGGCACAGCCTGAGGACTGCTGTTCCACACACCATGGAGTCACTAGGGCAGGCACAGCCTGAGGACTGCTGTCCTGCACACCATGGAGTCACCAGGGCAGGCACAGCCTGAGGACTACTGTCCTACACACCATGGAGTCACCAGGGCAGGCACAGCCTGAGGACTGCTGTTCTACACACCATGGAGTCACTCAGGGCAGGCACAGCCTGAGGACTGCTTTCCTACACACCATGGAGTCACTAGGGCAGGCACAGCCTGAGGACTGCTGTCCTACACACCATGGAGTCACCAGGGCAGGCACGGCCTGAGGACTGCTGTCCTACACACCATGGAGTCACTAGGACAGGCACAGCCTGAGGACTGCTGTCCTACACACCATGGAGTCACTAGGGCAGGCACAGCCTGATGACTGCTGTCCTGCACACCATGGAGTCACCAGGGCAGGCACGGCCTGCTCTCCACACCCCTGCTTACCTCTCCGGTCCCCAATCTGCCTTCCTGCCCTGGCTCCCATCCCTGCCTTGCAACCTGCTGTGCTGACTGTGTCATGTGCTCTGGGAGCTGTGCCTCTCTGGCCCCTCCACTGCCCCCTACCTTTCTCTGCCGGGAATACCCCCCTCATTCCAGCCAGCATCCCTCAGCTTTATGCAGGTTTTTCTCCCAGGTGCTGCCCCCACATCTCCTCTCACATCCTTCTGGCTGGCACAATCACACCTGTACACACTCTGTCAAGGTGTCTGTGCCACGACACAAAACCCCGTTAACCATCCGAATCTCTCCATCAACTGTGAGCCACGAGGCCAGGACCAGGCCTGTTCACAGCTTTGGCTCTGGTTCTGGTCCAGCTCCCAGCACACCACGGGCCCCTGATGCCTAATGCTCCAAGAACAATAATAGCACTCAGGAAGCAGGTCTGTGGCCACCAAGGTTCCCACAGAAGGCCCAGGGGGTCCAGAGTCAGTGTCCACAGCAGCTCCCGTCCAGCGGCCCTGGGGGAAGCCCAGCAAGGACAGCACTGCATCCCTGGTTCTAGACAACAGTGGGGTACAAATAGGAGCCCAGGCAGAGCAGCTATGAGTGGCTTCAGGTCAGGGGCAAAGTGGACCTTCCGCTGGAGTTGGTTCTGAGTTGAATTCACAGGCTGTGGGTGAGAGGGATGGGACGGAATTTTGAACATGATCATGCTCACTACTGAGAGTTCACAGCCAAGTACATGAAACGTGTTTTTTACACTGTTGATTTGCTCTGAGGTTGTCACAGTGCAAGTAATGTCATGGTCAGAGTGTAAAAATGTCACACAAACACTACTGGACTCTCCTCTCACTGGCGAGCGTGATAGATGAAGACAGCCGGTGTGGTGACCGTCCCTCCTCTGCGATGCAGACAGCGGGGTGCCGAGGGGGGCAAGGGGGCTGCTCTGGCCTCCCCCAGGAAGGAGAGTGGCTCTGTGACAGGACTGATGTTCCCCAGGGTCCTTCGTGAGACCCGTCCACATGGGCTGACCTTGGTCCCTGTGGGCACACTCCACGTATTCCCAGGAAGCACTGACCCGCTGGCTAGACAGCTCAAGCGTACCCTAATCTGCTTCTTTCTTCCCCAAGAAGTTGGAACCGGGAGAGTTGAGTCGCTTTTTGCTTACGGGTGGAAATGGAATAAAAAAGAAAAAGACTTGATGTTTGTCAAGGAAACAGCAGTGCACAGCAGGGAACCTGTCCAATCCAGGTGTATCCTTGAACCCTACCAGTGGCCCTATGTCTGCACTTACTGTGTCGGGAATAAAAGAGCACAGAAAGTTCCCTGTCATCGGCATAGAGCATCATCTTCAGGGCCGGGCGCAGTGGTGCACACCTGTGATCCAGTGACCCGGGAGGCTGAGGCACCAGGACCCGAGTTCCACAGCCATGTTGGTTTCTCTTGGCAAATGAGCAAATCAACCTATTCTCAAGGGGTTCCTGCTGCAGTTGAAATCACCACGATGGCTCAGAAAATGTCCTTCCAAGAGGGGGCCAAGAAGACCCCTGAGTGGAGCCCAGGAGGACCTCCCCTGAGAGGAGGCCTGGAGGTCACGCTCTGAGCAGCACCTGGAGGTGCCCTTCCCACTCCCTGGGGCTGCCTCTGTCTCAGACCAGCTGAGCAGCGGGGCGCAGGCAGCTCACGGCCCTGAACGTGGCGGAGAGGAGGCAAGGCCAGCTGAACTCATTCTGGACATCAGGCTCCCAGGAGGCGCAGAACCCAAGGCTCCCAGCACCACACCCCAGCCAGAAGGGCCCTCGGGAAGTGCTCTCTAGGGGTGGAGGGGAATGCGTGTGGCTGCTGCCCCATAAAACCCTGCACAAACGTGTGCCCCACCTGTCTGCTGGTGGGGAGGGAGACCAGGTGCCCAGGGGCGTGGAGGGGCTGCCCACACAGTGTTTGGAGGTCATAGTCCTGGTCCAGGTGCTGGCGTCCAGGAAGTCAGGCAGAGCTACGGGCCTTTTGGAAGCCGGCCTGGCCATCTGTTAGGTTTAGGTGTCCCCAAAGGCTCAGGTGTGAGACAATGCAAGCAGGTTTAGAGGTGCAGGGATGGGTCATGACAGCCTTAACCCAGTCAGTGCGTTAATCCCCTGATGGGATTGACTGAAGGGTAACTGGAAGCAGGTGGGTGTGGCTGGGGCGGGTGGGCGCTGGGGGCGGGGCTTTGGGGTATATATTTGTACCTGGTGAGCGCAGTCTCTCTCTGCTTCCTGGTCACCACACTCTTCTGCCTCTGCCTCACCTCGAGTCCCGAGGAAGGGAGCCAGCCTTCTATGAACCGAGATCTCTGAAACGGTGAGCCCCCAAGTGAACTTTTCCTCCCGTGAGATTGTTCTTCTCAGGTCTTTCCATCACAGCAGCAAAAGCTGGCTAAAGCACCCTCCATGCTGACCCACACCCCACCTCCGCGGGCCGGGCCTGGGCCTGGCTGCAGACCTCGGTCAGCCCTCTGCAGTCCGTGGGCTCACACTGCGCCTTCCTCCCAGCAGACATGGGGTTGCTCCTGGTTTAGAGAAAGGCTCGAGCAGCCCTCCAGAGGAGAAACGGCTTCACCCCGGCTGCACTGATGGGCGGAGGCTGCTGTCCTCCCCTGTGAAAGGAGACCTAGGCCTTGGTGGCCTCTCCTTGGGAGTCCTGCACAAGGGCAGAGGGGCCAGGAGATGGACTTTGTTGGGGACAGCCCTTGCTGGGAGCATCCGCTTTGCTTAAACCTCTCGGGTAGGGCTGGCGTGAGTCAAGGGTGATCTAGAGTCCAGGGACGGAAAGGCTCAGGGCACCAGCTGAGGACGTGGTTTCCTCTGGGTCTTGCCAGTTTCAGGAGGTCAGATGTTCTAATCCCCACCAGCTGACCACTAGACAAGGGACGGGACCTGGAGGGCCGGGGTCTAGCCTCGACCCAAGGGGTCACCCGAGTGTCCACTGGGGGCAGGAGAGCCTCAGTGAGCAGCTTGGGGAGGCCGTTCCTTGGGGTGAGTCTTTCCTGGAACACAGAAGCAGGTGTGAGGCTGGGAAATGCGTGGTGGGGAAATCTCACGATGGCCACGTTTCTTAGAGCAAGACATCAACATGGCCGGCCGGCGAGCAGCCACGTAGGTCATGGTACACGTTCAGGGACGGGGGCTTGAGCGTTGGTTTTCTTGCTCCCCACATGTCAGCAGAAGTGGGCACCATACATGAAAGTGGGGGGTGAGGGGGGCCAGGTGTGTTGAAGGCTTGCCAGGAGGGTACTGTGCCACAAACCCAGCCCTGAACTTCCCCCCTCACTCCCCAGCACTGCCGGGCAGCTAGAGAGGGCCGTGGAACACGCCAGAATGGAGATGTGCCTGCACCCGTGTACACACACACACACACCCCTTAGTCTTCATTCGTTGCTGGTGTGTTTGCAGGATCACAGAGTCTAGGTAACAGACCCCTCGTGATGCTCAAAGAGAAATGAAACCCTCCCAGCTATCAAAAGAGGTTAGTGAGAAAGAACTTTCATGAGAAAGAACTTTCCAAAGCAAAATCCATAAAAGGTGCTGGAAGGACAGTCATTTAGAAAATTTTCAAAGATGAATTGACTCATTGTCTCAGCAAATGATTTCACAGAATCTCACAGAATGTCAACTGCCCTGGGAACTGGAAGCTCACTGATGCAGATGGTCTGCGCTTCCACTACCAGCAACGAGCAATTGCCGCATCCCAGCGAGTGCAGGCTCAGGGCAGCGCTGAGGTCCCAGGCCTCCTGGCTGCCCACCCTGGATCACACCCTCCCTGGCCTGCGGTCCTGCTGAGCAACCCTCCAGGCTCCCCCGATCTGCAGACAGAGTGGGTTTCAAGAGAAGAGCAGGGACCACCTCTAACTCTCACAGAGCTGCCCTGGGCCCTGGAGGCACTCGGCTGTGAACTTGATGTTACGGAACAGGCCGTTCCATGGGCCATGAAGAGTCTCGAGCTCCCCAGAGACTGTACAGCAGTCAGTGACACACAGTAGGCTCTCGGGGAAGACCTGATGCGTCAACAAGTCCAGATGTCAGACCTACTTACAAAATGAAAGTCAGCCTGAATGCGGGGGAAGGTTATCTGGAAACAACTTTAAAATGCCTTGCAGGATGGGGAGGGGCGCCTAAGGGAAGGAGCGCAGTGGGAAGGCTGGAGTGTCCACCTGCCCGCTGAGCCCTTGCTGCCCTTCTGTTTCACACAGCAGAGCTCACTCTGCCCGGTCGAGGGGTCAGAGGCTCTTGGGCCTCAACACCATCTCAGCAACTGAACACAGTGGGCAGGAGGAACACGGGTCTGGGGATTGCACCCCAACCACGCCCACAGGCTGAGTGTCAGTGCAGCTGGGCCCATGAGGTGCCGCCCAGCTCAGTGGGCGAGAACACCAGGGCCTGGCTACACGGCTCTGGCCCTGCCTTGGCGAGCGCAGCCTGGGCTGGCGTAACCCAGGCCGAAGGCAAATACCACCCCCCCTCACCTCCCGAGCACAGGACTCCCTTCCTCTTGGGAGTCACACTCCTGCCGGTTCTCAGGCACACGTCAGCCTGATCTTCTCCACAGCTGACCACCCCTTGCCCTGGCCACTGTGTGGGGTGGCCAGGTGTCGGGTTGCCTGTTCCTAGGAAGGGCAGCTGGTAGTAGCCTGGAAGCCCTGCAGGCTCAGGTTGAGGGCAGGGCCCCAGCTTGCTCTTGTCACAGGCCACCAGTGTCTAGGGCACAGAGTTCCGGTCCTGCTAGCTAACTGTGCAGCCCTGGTCTGCCCAGGGTCCCAGGACCTTCTTTCCAGCTTCTCAGAAACAGACCAGGTCAAACAGAGTTGCCCATCCAGAGGGGAAGCTGCCTGAGCCCCAGTGAGTACTGACCAGTGTCGCGGCTGCAGAACCCCCTGCCCCAAAGGCACAGCTAACAAGGCCTGCGAGGGGGAGAGCGGGGGTGGGGGGCCACCCACCCAGAGCACAGGCCAGTGCCCAAACTTCAGGGCTGCTCTTCCTCATTCCCATTTGCTGGGAAAGCCCAGGCAGAAGCAGGGTAACCAGAAGTAAGTCGGTGTTTTTCTTTGAATTTTAGAGTTCCACCCAAGAGAATTTCTTTATAAAAGTTTCTTCTCAATTTTTGTTTCTTCTTAAGATTAGATGTTCTTCTTAGAAGTTCAGAAATCACATACAGGTGCCCCTTTCCTGCCACAAACCTGTCGTCCCGAGGAGAGCCTGCTGTGAGTCTACTGAGATGCATGTATGTAGGTGTCCACACATTGTGTGCTCACACACGTCCTCCCATGCACAGTGTCTACAATTAATGCATTACGTGTGTGCACGTATTGAATTACAGCACATTCCTTTACATTATGCATATGATTCTTCATGAAAGTGGGCAGGTCCTACATTTTATTTAATAGAAGCCTTTCTAAAACTTCTGCCTAGGTTAGTTACATTAAGCCCTTTCCCAGACTACCTCTCTGCAACCTGCCCCAATCCCTCCCCAGGGATAGTTCTGGGCTCCCAGTCCAAGGGCACCCAACAGAGCTGCACTCAACAAACAGGCCTGGCCACTTGCTGACACAAGCAGGTCTCCGGCACAGTGTGGGAAGAGTCGGTCATTCCGGTAGTGCATCAGGCTCAAGCCTAGAAGACACCTCGCTGACCTTCTCCAAGACTCGAGAGCTGAGCACCCCGAGAGTGACCCTGAGGAAGGAAGGTGGCAACTCAGCCAGGTAAATAACACAGGGCACTCCACCCAGTGGGCGGACAGAGCGCCAGGCCAATGGTATTTGGCTTTGCTCCTGCAAAGCACATGATCATCGCTGGAGCTTTGCCAACACAACTTAACATCACTGCGGCTTGATGGGAAGCACCTGGAAGACTCCCTCCTGTGCCCTGTCCAGGCAGATCAGAAAGGTAGCAGCCCTTGGCTGAGGCTCAACTCCAGCTTCTTGCTGGTGGACTTCACCTTATTCAAAACAGAGCCTCCCCTCCTGTTAGCGGCATGAGCTCTGCTGGTGCAGAACGGGCTTTCAGGTCCTGATAGTGGAAAGCTGTCCTCCTGCTTCCACCCTGGACAAGCCCTGCTGTCCGTGGCTGGGAGGTGTTCTGCCCACTGTGTGGATGGGGGAGTGTCCATTGTGTCCACTGTGTGGATGGGGGAGCGTCCATTGTGTCCACTGTGTGGATGGGCGTGTGCACCCTGGTGGTGTCGCCTGTCTTGTTCTTGGTCTAGCACTTGCCGTCTTCTCAGTTTGTGTGGCTTCTGTTGCTCATTTGTTTACAGCCTGTTCTCTCCCCTAGAATTCAGCCACGTGAGACCGGGGCCCTGGCCATCCTGTGGGTGGGTCCACTACCATAGGTGGGGCAGCACTACCCGGCACAGGCAGGCCCCGTGAATATGGTGGGCACTGCAGGAGTCAGTTCCTCATCTAAGGCAGTGGGGGCTCATTGGAAAGGGGAAAGGAGCCATGCACGGGGAGAGCAAAGTGTGTGTGTGTGTGTGTGTGTGTGTGTGTGTCCCAATCCAGGGCCCTCCGTCACTCCTGGAGTGAGAGTGAAGCAGTTAGGTTTCCTGAACTGTGGCTGCTGTGCTGGGGGAGAGGAGGGCAGGGTGCAGACGCCCCCCACTCTGGAACCCAAAGGGTGCCTCAGCAGGTGGGATGCTGTGCCGGGGGCCGGGCAGCCTGGCTGGTGGTTACTGGGGACTCAGATGTCAGAGGAGGTGTGTGCTAAGGACCCCTCAGAGAAAGGAAGCCGCAGAATCCCAGGACAGGAGAGCTCTGAGGTTGTGGGCCGGGAGCTGCCCTAAGAGTGGAGAGGTCAGCAGCTTCTGCTCTTGTCCTGAGCGGTCCCTGCCCTCTGCAGGGTGTGGAATTAGGGGCTTCAGAGGCCAACACAGCCTTCTTGTCCCAAACCCCTTCCCCAGTTGGAGGCTTTGCCTCACTGAGGACAAACGCTGGTCCCGTGAACCCTCCACCCCTCAGGAGGTATCTGCCCAGCCGGGTGCCAGCTGTCACGGCCACACATGCCCATGTGGGTCCAGTCTGGCATCGACCTGTCCCGGGATCATGGGTGCTTTGGAGTAACAGCTAAGAGAAAACCTTTCTGCTCACCATGGCTGTGCTAGTACCAGTGGCTCTTCCCCAAGGTTGCCCGGTCCCTGAGTGCAGCCCTCTCCCAGTGCAACAGCTGCTCAGGACACAGCCATCGCCCCTCCCTGTGCTGGCAAGTGCCATCCTCTGCGGGTCAGAGTCAGGCGAGGGCTAGGGGACTCGTGGACTTCCTGGGAGCCCCTTTCAGACTTCAGAGGTACATGTCGGGAACACTGAGGCTGATGGGCTTCTGTGCGCGCTCTCCTGGCCAGAGCTGGCCACTCACGGCACTTCCCTGAAATTCGGAGCTCTCCCCAGCTTCTTGGCAGGAAGCTTGCTGAGTTAAGCAGAGATCTCTGCCACTGGACTCCTGGGAGCATCGGCTACCAGTGGTGGCAAACAGTGGCACCTAGCGGTGAAGTTGATACCAGTCTTGGAAACTGGGGTGGGTCCTCATTCCCCCAGTGCTGAAGATAGACCCCCGAGAGTCACAGAGGCAAGCAGGGAAAGCCGGTTTTATTTAGGAAACAGACAAACCAGAGATAGAGAGCAGGAGAGAAGTGAGGGCCCAGCTGGTTGCCCCTGAGAGGAGTGTGTCTTGCCCTTTGTGGATCCCAGATTTCCTGTCCACCCTCCTCCTCTTTCTGTCTGCCTGTGTGCCCCAAGACAGGGGAAGAAGAGCTGGGGGACTCATTAGCCACTCCTTGTGCTGGGAAGTGCGGCTGGATCTCCAGAGGGTCAGCAGCTGTTGGGGGTGGGGGAGTGGATCCCGAGGTTAGCGGTTAGCAACCCGTTTCCTTTCTTTGGGATGAGCTACCTGTCCTTTGCCTCTGTTATCCAACATTCAAGGCCTCGGAGGTCCTTTCTGTTCCATCCCAGGTACTGGAACTTCCCCTGGATGCCAGTTTCCAGGAGTGAGATGATTGTGGGTACCTTGGGTCATCTGTGTCAATCTCTTTGGTCTTGTGTAGGGTAGCCCTGGTGCAGGTTCCCAGCTCCTGGGCACACTCTGCGCATATGCTTGAGTGGCATGAAAGCCAAGGCAGCTTCTGGGTGCCCAGGTCTGCCACTCCCTTCCCTGTTCAAGCACTTGTCTGTGGGGCTGCTTCTGTAGATGAGGGCCATTGTCAGGGTCTAGGAAGACAGGAGGAAGCCAGTGGGTGACATATCTAAACCTGCCTCGGTGATCTGCGGTGCTGGAGGCTTCTGCGTAAGGAGCCTCCCAGAAGGTAAAGACGCTGTGCACTCTTAAAATCCCCCCAAACCGAGAACACAGCCTCTTCAACAAATGGTGCTGGGAACAGTGGAAATCCATATGCAACAAAACGAAATTAAACCCCTATCTCTCACCATGCACAGAACTCAACTCAAAATGGATCAGGGACCTAGGAATAAAACCAGAAGAAAAAGTAGTAATCCCATCACGTGGGATTAGGCCCCAACGTCCTTAATACAACTCCTTTGGCACAAGAATTAAAAATCAAGAATCAATAAATGGGATGGACTCAAACTAAAAAGTTTCTTCTCAGCAAAAGAAACTGTCTGTGAGGTCAACAGAGAGCCTACATCTTGGGAGAAAAATCTTTACCCCTCACACATCAGATAGACCACTAAACTCTGGGTTGTTTTTTTGATGTTTAGCTTTTTGAGTTCTTTATATACCCTAATCAATAAATGGGCCAAGGACCTGAACAGACACTTCTTAGAAGATGATATATGATCAAGCAATAAATATATGAAAAAAATGTTTAACATCTCTAGCAATTAGAGAAATGCAAATCAAAACCACTCTAAGATACCATCTCCAGGCAGAATGGAAGCTATTATGAAGACAAACAACAACAAGTGTTGGCAAGGATGTGGGGAAAAGGCACACTCATACACTGCTGGTGGGACTGCAAATTGATGCAGCCAATATGGAAAGCAGTATGGAGGAGATTCCTTGGAAAACTGGGATTGGAACCACCATTTAACCCAGCTATCCCTCTCCTCAGTCTATACCCAAAGGACTTAAAAACAGCATACTACAGGGACACAGCCACATCAATGTTTATAGCAGCACAATTTACAATAGCTAAACTGTGGAACCAACCTAGATGCCCTTCAGTAGACAAATGGATAAAAAGTGGCATATATACACAATGGAATGTTACTCAGCACTAAAAGAGAATAAAATGATGGCATTTACAGGTAAATGGATGGAGTTAGAGAAGATAATGCTAAATGGAGTTAGCCAATCCCCAAAAAACCAAATGCCAAATGCTTTCTCTGATATAAGGAGGCTGATTAATAGTGAGGTAGGGAGAGGGAGCATGGGAGGAACAGACAAACTATAGATAGGGCAGAGGGGTGGGAGGGGAAGGGTGGGAGCATAGGGTTAGAAATGATGGTGGAATGAGATGGACATTATTATCCAAAGTACATGTATAAAGACACGAATTGGTGTGGATATACTTTGTATACAACCTGAGATATTAAAAATTGTGCTCTATATGTGCAATAACAATTGCAATGCACTCTGCTGTTACATATAAATAAAAAATAATTTTAAAAGTCCCTCTAAACCTCCATAAAGCAGGGCCTGGGGGTGGGGTGGTGAAGAGGCTGACGTGACCAAAGTGATGATGTTGGAAGTGAGTTCCCAGCTAGGGGACAGGACAGGGAGGGGGAGGCTTGCCAAGACGGAAGCAGGCGGCCAAGGGGATTCTGCATGGCGTAAAATGCGTCAGGAGGCCCAGGTCCTCCGTGGGGAGCTGGGAACAGCTGCTGAAGATGCTCCCAGGGCTGGTGGAGCATCCAGAAGGTGGTCCGGGTCAACCTAAGCAGCCAGGCCAGAGAGCAGCAGTAGCAGAAGACAAGGTCAGAAGTCGTCCAGCACCAAGGACAAGTGCCCCGTGCACAAGGTACACAGGCCAGAGTCGAAGCCCCTGAGGTGGGTTGCAAAATTGAAAAGAAGGTCAAAGTTCATTAACTGATTACAAGGCTGAGGTGGAAAGTCCATGTTATGCTGAGTATCGTTCCTTTTCCCAGAACTAGGGCCTGAACCTAAGGTGCCTTACCACTGAGCCACGTCCCAGCTCTTTTAATGTTTTCCTCTTTGAGACAAGTTCTCCCTAATGGCTCAGGCCTCGCTACGTTGCTGAGTCTGGCTGTGACCTGGCGATCCTCCTGCCTCAGCTTCCCGAGCCGCTGGGATTGCAGGTGTGCCCTGGCGCCCAGCTGTTGCGGGGACTTTCTGAAAGGTTGGCCTTTTGAATTTCTGCAGCCTCCCTTTTCAAGGGAAGTCGAGCGCAGAGAGGACCATGGCCCACCTGAGAACGCCCACCACAGGGAACGGGTGAGAGCCTTTTCCAAGGTCAGGCCCTGGTGCACCATGCTGCTCTCTGTTCTGCATGAGCACGTTATCCACATGTGCTCCACATAGTCATCATTTTCATCAAACTCTCATTGTCATCAGACTAAGCTTCAAGCACCTCATCCCCTTGACTGAGGGTCATAGTTTTCAGATGGTGGCTTCCCTCAACAGTTGCCACCACATGTCCCTGACCAACGCTGGAAGGCTCACTTCATAGATCCACACTAGGCAGAGGTGACCAGGGTCACAGAGCTTTGGGAACAGTCTGCAAGCATCAAGCTTTACTAACAAATGAGTAGCAAAGGGATTTTTCAGCTTCGGCTCTGAGGTTTGGGGCAGACTTGCCCTATCCAAATCAGTAACTGCTGTTTGAATTTTAATTAACTAAATAAAATGCAGCTGTGAGTTCCGTGTCACAGCTCCACCTGCTGCAGGTCAGGAGCTCAGCTGTTGCATGTGGCCAGTGACTGCCGACCCAACCAGCACTGCTCGAGAGGGGACATGTCCAACCCCTGGGCTGAAGCTGTGTCCTGTGTGTAACAGGTCTTAGATTTCTTATGATAGTTAGAACAGTGCTGTGTGGGTGACATGAAATGGGCCCACTGGGGTGCTCTGCATGTCGTAAAGAGTCCTACTCATCGAATCTTCTTAAATGGCTTCAACAGTGTAAGATCATTGGGTCTTTGCAATGCCAAGGCTGGGCCTGGGGTGTCTTCATATTAGCTCCTTTTCAGAAGTTGAACTCGGTGCCTTGGGGTTGACATTTATGCTTTGCTTTTTAGGACAGAAGAACCTTCCACATTCAGCGCTGTTGACAACTTCTTTCCAGGTAGAAGGTAGGTAACATGCACATGTAAAATAGGAAGTGTATCACTTTGCCATAAGATCACACCTGTCCAAAGTAATGTGAAAGTGCCATCGTGTACCGGCTGAGAAGAGCCACCCGCACGGCCTCAGAGGAAGGGGTCGAGGTGACATGCAGGAAGGTAAATGAGTAACACTCTCTGCTGCTCCGGGGCCCAGTGTGACCAAGTTCATTAACTAGTAGCAGCCTTGACGGCTAGCACACGGTGACTCAGAGGGAGGACGGCACCCTGGTTCAGGTGGCTTCCCTGTGCCGACTTGCTTCTTGCAGGGAGCTCCACCTCTACGTGCCCACTGCCAGTGGACCCTGAGCCGGCACCATGGAGAGAAGCCTGAGGAACGTCCTCGTGGTCTCCTTTGGATTCCTCCTCCTCTTCACAGCCTACGGAGGTCTGCAGAACCTGCAGGTAGGTGTGGGCCTTGGAGCATGACCTTGATCTCTAAGCTTGTCCTGCCTCCAGAGCCACAGGCAACAGATAGTGCAAGGCCATTTCTTTTGTCAATGCACCCTAGACTCTCTTCGCCCCGTGCCTCTGAATTCTCCAGAACAGACTGTGTTTTCATACAAAACCTGACAGCGTCATTCCTGCTTACATTTCCACGGGCTGTACACTGTTTGACCCTTGGACAAGCAGAGCCAGTGTCTCAAGAGAGTGCTTTGAGAGGACGATTTGCCTCTGGTGGTCAAAAGGAGACACAAGAAAAATCCTGAATTCCATGGCTCCATGCCCCTGGCTTTGTGATCTGCGCAGAAATACCAATCTATCAAACCTTGCTAGACCTCCTCGATTCCATACTGTCTTTAAGCAAAAGTGTGAACTGGGCAGAACAGTCTTCCTTCTGAACTCCTCCTGAGTCTGAGTCATACAAAACCCAGTGGTTTCCAGAAGGCTCTGGTGTTGGTGCCATGGACCTGGGGTTGGAGTCGACATCACTTCAAGTCTGATCTTTCACTGGCAATTAGACCTTCAGAGAGTTCCAAGGACTGGCAGGAGGCAGGCCATCGCTGTCCCCGAGAGCAGTTTGCTCAGTGTTGCACCTTGTGGCCAGGGATGTCATACAATGACACCGTTTTGGAATTTCTGGTGATGACCACAGTCTCCCATGGTTTGTCAACCAGGTCAAGAAGTAGCCACCTACTGCATGCCCAGTACTGAACCAGAGTTCAGTTCTGTTCCAGCGCTGCAGGAGGATCGGGAGAAGGGCCCTCTGCTTCCACGCAGAGGGAGGCCTTCCGGCAGCTTCTCTTGGTCCTCCATCCCAAGTGCCGAGGCCGGCGGGTGTCCCCACATCCACACTTTCAGGGAGCAGGGTGGCCGTCCCTGCTGTTGAGAGGCTGCTGGCCTTACGCCACTTACCTGCAGTGTCCTTAGCACAAGAGGGCCTGTTGCCAGGGTTGGGGACCTGAGGTGCCTTGAGCCCACAGGTCCTCACACCCACACCACTCCCCTGCCTATTCCTCCCCCTCCTTGACAGGCCGGTCTTGTTTCCACAGAGCAGCCTCTACAGCGAGGACGGCATGGGGGTGGCGACGCTCGGCACGCTGTACGGCACTGTCCTCTTGTCCTCCATGTTCCTTCCACCCATCCTCATCAAGAGATGTGGCTGCAAGTGGACCATTGTTGGCTCCATGTGCTGCTACGTGGCCTTCTCCCTGGGCAACTTCTACGCCAGCTGGTACCTGCCCTCCCGCCCAGCCACCTCCTGCTTTGCAGGACTCTGGTGGCACCTGACTGCTCTCGTCTGTGCTGGGCCCTTCAGTTTCTGCGGGAGGCTGACTGGCAGCCTCTCCCCACTTTCCCACCAGGACTTCCCTGCCTTCCCGATGGCTCCCTCTCTTCCTCCTGACCTCCAGTGCTGACCTCTTCCTGGGATCTGTCCGCGGCCCTCAGCTTCCCTTGCACCCCACGGGCTCCATGGCCCCAGTAATGGCAGGAAGAACCTAATTCAGTTGAGGAGGGTGAGTCTCGGGAGGCGTGGCCAGGATCAAGGGCAGGGATGCAGGCCACCCATTGCCCTTTCTTGCAGGTTCACCTTGATCCCCACCTCCATCTTGCTGGGGCTGGGAGCGGCCCCCCTGTGGTCTGCTCAGTGCACCTACCTCACAGTCCTGGGGAACACGCATGCACAGGAAGTGGGCGAGCTCGGCGAGGACGTGGTGAACCAGTACTTCGGCATCTTCTTCCTCATCTTCCAGTCCTCTGGTGTGTGGGGCAACTTGATCTCCTCTCTGGTGTTTGGGCAGACTCCCACTCAAGGTAAGGGAAGAACAGGGTGTCCCTGGTGACCTCCAAGAGGGGAGGGCAGACAGCACGTAGGCACTTGCCCTTGTTCCCAGAGGAGGCCCTCAGCTGGCCTCAGCTGCAGAGTCATGTGCGGACCCTGCTCCTCCAAGGACAGTCCGGGTCTGAAGATCCATCTCCACACGTTGCCCCCTCCCAGGGAGCAAGGGTGCATGGAGTCATGGCTTCCTTTGGGGGCAAAGAACAGGTTTGCCCGACTATTTCCTATGGAATTAATCCATGGGCAGCTTTTTAAAGTTCTGTGGTCAGTCCTTCCTGTAACAAGAGGTGCACTCATGGCGGAGCCCTCCGTCACCTGCCTTAAGTGTCCCTTGCCCGGCCGTGATGTGGAACGTGACTTGCACACCACCGTGGGGAGGATCTCAGTCTGGCCAGAGGAGCTGGGCAGGAGCCGGCCCTGGGGGAAAGGCTCTGGCCTCTTGCTGCTGTCAGGTTGACCCTGTCCTGCAGCCTGGCCTAGCTCCTGCTCTCCCAGGTAGAGCCCAGCTTTGGGAAGCTGTAGTCAAACCTCCTGCTCTTTCCAGAGCACCATCATCCCTGGCTACTGGCATCCCCACAGGGAAACCACAGGGGCTTCCGTTCTTGCTGTCCCCCAGCAGGGAGGGCTACGTCTGGGCCCTGGTGAGTGCAGCAGCAGGCTCACCGGACATTCAGGCCAGGGAGCTGAGGGCAGGAACCCAGGGCACACATCCTCAGGGCCAGCAGGGTTTCCGCACCCACCGCCTGGTGCCCTCGGCTCTCACGGCCTTCCGTCCCTGTGCTGCACGTCTCGCCAGCCCAGACAGTGCTGCGAGGTCACTGTCACGAGGCCATGGAGACCACTGGACACGGACTGCAGTGCATTAGGAGAGGGCACGAAAAGTAGCCAGGCCCATGCTGCGTGTGCTCTTCCCTGCTCTTGGCAGAAAGCGTACTTGGTCCTCTCCCTCCCTGGTGATGAGGGGTCTTGAGATCAAGGTGTGCCTGAGGGTGAACATGCCCGGGTCCTTCCACATCCTGCCTCAGAGGCTCCACCACCCTGCCCCCTGTTCCCACTCCGACGCCCAGGACTCTCTATCACCAGGACCCTCATAGGCTGTTTGCTCCTGACCCCACAGAGGCCACCCCAGAGGAGCACCTTGAGTCCTGTGGGGCCAACGACTGCCTGATGGCCACAGCACCCACCAACAGCACCCACCGCCCCTCCCAGGAGCTGATCTACACACTGCTGGGCATCTACACCGGTACGTGTCCTTAGGCCAAGAGAGTGCCATGACGGCCAAGCCCAGCCTCTTCCTGGGTTGAAGAGCACCATCCCAGCTCCTAAGTGGTCTGTTTCCGTCCAGCACCCTTGCCCTGTGTGGTCTGGAGGTCTTCAGGGGCTTCTCTTTGGAAAGCAGGCCTGTGGGCCAGGGCTACCCTGCAGGGAGCCCGTGACACTCAAATCTCTTCTCATCCCCAGAGCCCCATGCACTGTCCGTCAGCCACATTCCAACCAATGAAATCCCAAAGTCTGTCTCTAAGGCTCCCTAGCCACACTTGGCAAGCTCCCTGGCCACAGCTAGCTCACTAGGCGAGCAGCTACCTCAGACCCCATCCAGGGGACCAAGGCATTGAGGAACAACTCCTTCCAGCTGACCCTGAAAGGCCAGGAAGGGGTGAGGGAGGTGTGACTGGGGGGCACTGTGGGCTGTGTGAGACAGGTGGTCAGACTGGTCAAGGCTACTGTGAAAGACCCAAGGACAAGGGCAGATCTGTTTCCTGGGCAGATTCTCATATCCACCTGATGGGGGTACAGGAAAGCTGGGTGGTGACCAGCCAGCAGGGAGCCACAACCCAGAGGGGCAGCAAGGGCACAGGCAGCATCTGGACAGTGAAGACAAGACCAGTGGATGTGTGTGAAGACACAGGTGTGGGGACAAGTGGCTGAGGTCAACCAGCCTGGAGGCATTGGGCTCGACGAGGCAGGTGACCCTTCAGAGTGTACAGGGGACCAGATACAGGAGAGGGCCTGGGGGCATCTAGGGGCCAAGTTTGAAATCTCAGGAGGAGATGAGTTTTTAGGGAGGAAGCAGCAGGAAGGACTTCAGGGAGGACGGTCCACCGCCTGGACAACTCAGTGCTCACAGGCTGGCCAGGGCATGGGAGCCCCTGCAGAAGACGGAAAAGCCAACAACGGGGCGTCAGAGCCCACACGAGAGAAGCAGCAGAAGGGAGTGGGTGTGAGTGGGTCAGAGGGACCAAGGGCCTGGAGGTTCAGGAGCACGGCTGGACGGCAGAGACTGGTGACCCTCCAAGGTGCTGGTGTCTGAGGCCAGATGAGTGGCTGGGAAGGAGAGTGGAGCGTGTGGAGGGAGTCGGCGAGGAGCGGGCTGTGGCCTGCGCTTTCCAGTGGGTTCCCAGGTTCTGTGGGTCTGGTGCTGGGGACAGGGGTAGAGGTCAGCCAGGCCTGCGCTTTCCGCTTTCCCTGCATTTCCTTCCCTGTCCCCCATGGGAGCAGGCAGGCCCAGCGCACGGCAGCGTCCAGGCTGAGCTGAGATCACGTCCCTGCTCTGCGCTCTCTAGTTGGCCAACCAAGAGCAGAGACTCCCCTCCCCATGGCTCCAGGACTCCAGACCTGGGGTGAGCACCCTGAGAGATGGATCTGCGAGTGGATATTAGGCTCCTGGCATCCCCTAGTCTCAAGAAACTGCTCATACTGTCTTCACCCGGGGAAGGCCAGAGACGCGGGTCAGTCAATGGTAACACAGTGTTCACGGCAGCAGGTGGTAGCAGGATGTGGCCACAGGCCGAGTGCTGACCCAGATCTAGAGGAGTGGCACAGACCACAGGAGAGCCCCTCGGCACATCAGTGGCTCGCAGGCCCTCCTTCCCTCCTGCCCTGCACGGGTGGCACCCTCAGGCTATCCTTCAAGTCCTCCTTTGCCTTAGCCCCAGGTGCTGCTCATTAGATACTTGGTACCTGCAGAACACAGTGACTTAGGTGAGTGACCTCAGGCTCTCTGAGCATTGTACTCATGAAGAAGTTTCTTGCAGCCAATTTCTTTAGGGGCGAGAGCGTTACCTGCCCAACATCCCCCACCACCTTGAGGGAACTGGGTCACATGGTGTCTGCACACACCTGGCTCCTAACAAAGGGTGTGTGGCTTCTGTATGCTGACCTGCCTCTCCCAAGCTCCCCGTCTCCGCGGAGGAGAGGAAACCATGATTTCCACCTGATTCACACACAACCAGACAACAGGCTTCCTCTGGAGGGGCCTGTTCAGCTGGGGATGCCAGGGAGCTCCTGTGCCCCACAACCAGCTGTCAGTTGGGCGAGTGATGAAGGGCCCTGACATGACTGGTGAGGGCTGGTCAGCTGGCAGCGCTCGGCGAGCCTCCCCAGTGCCCCTTTATCATGAAAGGGGAGGGGTGGCGAGGTCAGTGAGACGGAGATCAAATCATTCACACCATCTTCAAGGAGGGCAGGTCTGAGATACTCGCCGGGGAAGGAGTCCTTGAAAAGCGTTCCGAGGGCCAGCGGTGCCAGGAGGCAGGGAAAGACCAGACTCCCTCCATCTAGCCTGGGCCACCCACATGGGGTCATCCCTGTTGCCAGAAAGCCAGGAACCGGCTGGGAGTGAAAGGGACTCTGGAGAGACACCACCTGCAGCAGCTTGGGCCCACCCAGAGCAGGGCTGAGGCACGTACAGGAGGGCGGGCCAGGGGCGGGCGGGGAGGAGGGGACTCGCTGGCTCCTGAGGCCCGGCACCTGGGGGTCCAGGATGCTCCCTCGGAGCGGATCCCATCACTGTTAGAAACAGCGGTTTACCCAGCAGCCCGTTGACGTGGTTCAGATAAAAGGCTGTGCAGCCCCTCAGCACCGTCCCTCAGCCCCAGTCTGCTTCTCTCCAGTCCTTCAGGGCACATAGGGACTAAATCCTCATGTCCCCCTTGCTGAGCACGGGTGGCGCATGGTCAGCACCTGGCTCAGCACTTTCTTTGTCTCTTCTTTACTGATCTTGGTGGCCTCTTCCACCTGGGTGATAGAGTTCTGTCTTTATCCCCTGCAGGAATGTGACCCACTGCGATGGCGTCCACTCCATTTAACCAGTTCCCACCAAAGTATTTTAGGCAAAAGATTCAAAATAAACCGGAGTGTAGCACATGGTACCCTGATGGGACTTGTCTGCTGTCGGTAGACACTGCTGCAGGAATTCAGACAGACGGTGGCCGTGGCCCCTGAGTGCGTCTGGGGTCTCTCCAGCTGTTGTGTCTCCTGTGCCCGTGAAGACAGTGCGGGTCCATGGCAGGTTCCCCGGGGAAGCCTGGAGGCCCCACGTTGACCAGGAGCAACACGTGTCCGTGTGGCTGGGCACGTGGGGTCCCGGCTTGGCTGAGGTCTGGTGTGTCTGACGGCACCTGCGTCTGGACCGGGAGAACCTGGGGGAAGGGAGGAAGCGGCTGGGAGGGTCCTGTCCACACTGAAGCTCCCTGCCCCTCCACCCCTTTCAGCCATCGGCGTCCTGGCCATCCTGCTGACAGCCGTGTTTCTGGAAGCCACAGAGGACAGTGAATCCCAGAACGAGGCCGAGACGCAGCCACCACGCCTTGGGTCCATCTTACTGTCAACCTTCAAGCTCTTCAGGGACAAGCGCCTGTGCCTCCTGACCCTGCTGCCCATGTACAGTGGACTGCAGCAGGGGTTCCTCTCTGGAGAGTACACCAGGGTAGGCCCCACAGCAGTCATGCCGTCACCGCCCGACTGGTGCCCCTGTCCCGTCTGCACCCGAAGGGACACAGGGTCCCAGGGCCACCTGCCCAGGCCCAGGGTGGGACTAGCCCACAGAGGTCCTGGCCCTGGCAGGGCTGACTGTGTGACTCAGGACACCAGCCCCAAGTACCTTCAGACCCACAGCCCTCTCAGGTCCTGGGTGGGAGCTGACATCCCTGTCCCCACCACACTCTGGGCATTATGTGACCTTGAGAGGGCCACAATCAAGGCTGGACTGGCCAGTCTGGGTCGCCTAGGCCTGCCCTCCAGGGCTTGGTCCTCCTGCCTCATTCCTACCAACCCGCCTCCCTGGCAGAGCTGCCTACCGGCACCATGTGGGGCAGCTTCCCATTCAGACTGAATTTCAGATCAAGGACAAGCATCCTTGAGGGACGAGTGTGCCCGTGGACTGTCTGGTGTGGTGAATTGCGTGTGTCAGTGCTATACGGAGGGCAGTCTCCAGTGTGGAGGGAGGGTCTCGAAGGTTCCAAAGAGGCAAACAGGACGACCCAAAGTCCACTTGGCCTTTGGACACCCCCAAAGCCATCAGGGCTGTCTGTGCCCCAGCCCAGGTGAGCAGTCTCCAGGTGGGCTGCCGTCAGCCCGGCCCTTCTCCTGGGGGTCTGCCTTGGTCCTGCCCAGGAGGGCAGTGTGTGTTGAGGGTGACCAGGGACTTCCTGTGACTGGCAGGGCAGCGTCTCAGCTCCTGGCCTCTCCTGATAGACCCCCATTTTCAAACCATCTTCTTCTGCCTTTAGGGCCAGTAGGAAGTGATGGGGTTGGTGGACGATTGTCCCTCCCAGTGCCGTGGGTCAATGCCTAGACGATGACACAGGGCACAGAATGCAGGGAGGACTCCACGAAGAAGTGTGTCCACTCGCTCTCTTTTCAGCTGTGACCCTGGGGGGGATGTCCCTACAGTCACGAGTGTCGTCCCCCGTGCTGGGCCGGGAGAAAGGAGTGTGCCTGCCGTCCCAGGGCCAGCGGTTCTCAGCCGCACAGGGAGTTTGGGCTGGAGCCGCAGAGGAGCGCGGGCCCTGCTGATGGCCCCTGTGCTTCCTGCAGTCCTTTGTCACCTGCGTCCTGGGCATCCAGTTCGTGGGCTACGTGATGATCTGCTTCTCGGCGTCCACTGCGCTCTGCTCTCTGTTGTTTGGGAGGCTCTCCCACTACACGGGCAGGAGAGCCATCTACGTGCTGGGTAGGTGGCCCCCTCCCAGTTCGGCAGTGGAAGGGGGGGACAGCTCAGAGTGGGGGTGGGGACTGATGGCACAGGTGCCACCCAGTGGCTCACCCTCACGAGAAGCCCCTCTGCAGTCACTGAGTCTAAGTCCCCTCAGCTCAGGAGCCTCCTGAGGTCCAGAGAAGACGGCCCACAACCCCCCAGGCCGAGGCGGCTGCAGTCCAGGGGTCAGGTTCTCTGAGGCGGGTTTGGAGCCCAGAGGTCCACCCCGATCAGGTCGCACGAGGCCCCAGCTTGCTCGATAGACCTGCAGTCCCCTCACACTGTGTGACGGCTAAGCAGGGGGCAGAGGAGGAAATGTGGCTCCTCTGCTGGGGTCTGAGTGCCCACGGCACTGCCTGTCCTGGTCCCTCCCTCTGTCCCAGGTGCAGCCACCCACCTCTCCTGCATCGTGGCCCTGCTGCTGTGGCGTCCACGCTCCTCCCAGATGGCAGTGTTCTTCCTGCTCCCCGGCCTGTGGGGCATGGGGGATGCTGTCTGGCAGACGCAGAACAATGGTGAGTGACCAGAGCCCAGCCCCTTGGCCCCCTTGCTCAGTCACTGGGCAGATGGCAGGGGAGTAGGCAGCCGCTGGTGTGGCCGCCAGACCCCAGCCAGCCCAAGGCTCCATCAGAGGCCAGGTGCTTGCGTGGGAGAAGGGAGAGGGAGCCCGGCTATGAGGGCTTCTCACCGAGCTCTGGGTCGGGGTATGTTCTCCGAGCATCTGTTCAGGTCCATCTGTGCAGGGTGAGGCCACCTTCATGGCCTAGTGGTCCCTGGGTGACCAGCAGCTGAGCACAGAGGGGGAGGAGGAGAGAGGCCTGCAGGGTTCAGAGAGTGGGCCAGATACAGGCAACAGATCACAGCATGGGTGACCTTGACCTGAGGGACGCAAGGCCATGGGAAATGGTGAGGCAGACACTGGTGGTCCCCCCCCCCCCGGCACAGAGATGGGACAGGACCAGAATGCCAAGGAGAGGTGACAGGGTCCAGGTGCAGCCCCACAGAGCTGTCCCCAGGGACCCCTGATGTACTTGGAGGACTGGTGACAGAGTCCAGGTACAGCCCCACAAAGCTGTCCCCAGGGACCCCTGATGTACTTGGAGGACTGGTGACAGAGTCCAGGTGCAGCCCCACAGAGCTGTCCCCAGGGACCCCTGATGTACTTGGAGGACTGGTGACAGGGTCCAGGTGCAGCCCCACAGAGCTGTCCCCAGGGACCCCTGATGTACTTGGAGGACTGGTGACAGAGTCCAGGTGCAGCCCCACAGAGCTGTCCCCAGGGACCCCTGGTGTACTTGGAGGACTGGTGACAGAGTCCAGGTGCAGCCCCACAGAGCTGTCCCCAGGGACCCCTGATGTACTTGGAGGACTGGTGACTGGGAGGAAGTTGAACACCCATGATGATGGCGGGAGTCACAGGCCTAAGTCCTCATCCAGATCGGTGGCAGGACTGGGAGAGCGGAAATTTAACTCAGCCCCCACCCCCACGGTTGAGGAGGGAGCCCTGACCCAGGCAGTGGGGCCCTGACCCAGGCAGTGGTGTCCTGACCCAGGCAGTGGGGCCCTGACCCAGGCAGTGGGGCCCTGACCCAGGCAGTGGGGCCCTGATCCAGGCAGTGGGGCCCTGACCCAGGCAGTGGGGCCCTGACCCAGGCAGTGGGGCCCTGACCCAGGCAGTGGGGCCCTGACCCAGGCAGTGGTGTCCTGATCCAGGCAGTGGGGCCCTGACCCAGGCAGTGGTGTCCTGACCCAGGCAGTGGGGCCCTGACCCAGGCAGTGGGGCCCTGTCCCAGGCAGTGGGGCCCTGACCCAGGCAGTGGGGCCCTGATCCAGGCAGTGGTGTCCTGATCCAGGCAGTGGTGTCCTGATCCAGGCAGTGGGGCCCTGACCCAGGCAGTGGGGCCCTGACCCAGGCAGTGGGGCCCTGACCCAGGCAGTGGAGCCCTGACCCAGGCAGTGGGGCCCTGATCCAGGCAGTGGTGTCCTGATCCAGGCAGTGGGGCCCTGACCCAGGCAGTGGGGCCCTGATCCAGGCAGTGGGGCCCTGACCCAGGCAGTGGTGTCCTGATCCAGGCAGTGGGGCCCTGACCCAGGCAGTGGGGCCCTGATCCAGGCAGTGGGGCCCTGATCCAGGCAGTGGGGCCCTGACCCAGGCAGTGGTGTCCTGACCCAGGCAGTGGGGCCCTGATCCAGGCAGTGGGGCCCTGATCCAGGCAGTGGGGCCCTGACCCAGGCAGTGGTATCCTGACCCAGGCAGTGGGGCCCTGATCCAGGCAGTGGTGTCCTGATCCAGGCAGTGGGGCCCTGACCCAGGCAGTGGGGTCCTGATCCAGGCAGTGGGGCCCTGACGCAGGCAGTGGGGCCCTGTCCCAGGCAGTGGTGTCCTGACCCAGGCAGTGGGGCCCTGACCCAGGCAGTGGGGCCCTGATCCAGGCAGTGGGGCCCTGTCCCAGGCAGTGGGGCCCTGACCCAGGCAGTGGGGCCCTGACCCAGGCAGTGGTATCCTGACCCAGGCAGTGGTGTCCTGATCCAGGCAGTGGTGTCCTGATCCAGGCAGTGGTGTCCTGACCCAGGCAGTGGGGCCCTGATCCAGGCAGTGGTGTCCTGACACAGGCAGTGGGGCCCTGATCCAGGCAGTGGGGCCCTGACCCAGGCAGTGGGGCCCTGACCCAGGCAGTGGGGCCCTGACCCAGGCAGTGGTGTCCTGATCCAGGCAGTGGGGCCCTGACCCAGGCAGTGGGGTCCTGACCCAGGCAGTGGGGCCCTGATCCAGGCAGTGGTGTCCTGACCCAGGCAGTGGGGCCCTGATCCAGGCAGTGGGGCCCTGATCCAGGCAGTGGGGTCCTGACCCAGGCAGTGGGGCCCTGATCCAGGCAGTGGGGCCCTGATCCAGGCAGTGGGGCCCTGACGCAGGCAGTGGGGCCCTGACCCAGGCAGTGGGGCCCTGATCCAGGCAGTGGTGTCCTGACCCAGGCAGTGGGGCCCTGATCCAGGCAGTGGGGCCCTGATCCAGGCAGTGGGGCCCTGACGCAGGCAGTGGGGCCCTGACCCAGGCAGTGGGGCCCTGACCCAGGCAGTGGTATCCTGACCCAGGCAGTGGGGCCCTGACGCAGGCAGTGGGGCCCTGACCCAGGCAGTGGTGTCCTGACCCAGGCAGTGGTGTCCTGATCCAGGCAGTGGGGCCCTGATCCAGGCAGTGGTGTCCTGATCCAGGCAGTGGGGCCCTGATCCAGGCAGTGGTGTCCTGACCCAGGCAGTGGGGCCCTGACCCAGGCAGTGGGGCCCTGACCCAGGCAGTGGGGCCCTGACCCAGGCAGTGGGGCCCTGACCCAGGCAGTGGGGCCCTGATCCAGGCAGTGGTGTCCTGACCCAGGCAGTGGTGTCCTGATCCAGGCAGTGGTGTCCTGATCCAGGCAGTGGGGCCCTGACCCAGGCAGTGGGGCCCTGACCCAGGCAGTGGGGCCCTGACCCAGGCAGTGGGGCCCTGACCCAGGCAGTGGTGTCCTGACCCAGGCAGTGGGGCCCTGATCCAGGCAGTGGGGCCCTGATCCAGGCAGTGGGGCCCTGACCCAGGCAGTGGGGCCCTGACCCAGGCAGTGGGGCCCTGACCCAGGCAGTGGGGCCCTGACCCAGGCAGTGGGGCCCTGATCCAGGCAGTGGTGTCCTGACCCAGGCAGTGGTGTCCTGACCCAGGCAGTGGTGTCCTGATCCAGGCAGTGGGGCCCTGACCCAGGCAGTGGGGCCCTGACCCAGGCAGTGGGGCCCTGACCCAGGCAGTGGTGTCCTGACCCAGGCAGTGGGGCCCTGATCCAGGCAGTGGGGCCCTGATCCAGGCAGTGGGGCCCTGACCCAGGCAGTGGGGCCCTGACCCAGGCAGTGGGGCCCTGATCCAGGCAGTGGTATCCTGACCCAGGCAGTGGGGCCCTGACGCAGGCAGTGGGGCCCTGACCCAGGCAGTGGTGTCCTGACCCAGGCAGTGGTGTCCTGACCCAGGCAGTGGGGCCCTGACCCAGGCAGTGGTATCCTGATCCAGGCAGTGGGGCCCTGACCCAGGCAGTGGGGCCCTGACCCAGGCAGTGGGGCCCTGACCCAGGCAGTGGGGCCCTGACCCAGGCAGTGGGGCCCTGATCCAGGCAGTGGTGTCCTGACCCAGGCAGTGGTGTCCTGATCCAGGCAGTGGTGTCCTGATCCAGGCAGTGGAGCCCTGACCCAGGCAGTGGGGCCCTGATCCAGGCAGTGGGGCCCTGATCCAGGCAGTGGTGTCCTGACCCAGGCAGTGGTGTCCTGATCCAGGCAGTGGGGCCCTGTCCCAGGCAGTGGAGCCCTGACCCAGGCAGTGGGGCCCTGACCCAGGCAGTGGGGCCCTGACCCAGGCAGTGGGGCCCTGACCCAGGCAGTGGGGCCCTGATCCAGGCAGTGGTGTCCTGACCCAGGCAGTGGTGTCCTGATCCAGGCAGTGGTATCCTGATCCAGGCAGTGGGGCCCTGATCCAGGCAGTGGGGCCCTGACCCAGGCAGTGGGGCCCTGATCCAGGCAGTGGTGTCCTGATCCAGGCAGTGGGGCCCTGACCCAGGCAGTGGTGTCCTGATCCAGGCAGTGGTGTCCTGACCCAGGCAGTGGGGCCCTGATCCAGGCAGTGGTGTCCTGATCCAGGCACTGGGGCCCTGACCCAGGCAGTGGTGTCCTGATCCAGGCAGTGGTGTCCTGACCCAGGCAGTGGGGCCCTGACCCAGGCAGTGGTGTCCTGATCCAGGCAGTGGGGCCCTGACCCAGGCAGTGGTGTCCTGATCCAGGCAGTGGGGCCCTGACCCAGGCAGTGGGGCCCTGACGCAGGCAGTGGGGCCCTGACCCAGGCAGTGGGGCCCTGACCCAGGCAGTGGGGCCCTGTCCCAGGCAGTGGGGCCCTGATCCAGGCAGTGGGGCCCTGACGCAGGCAGTGGGGCCCTGACCCAGGCAGTGGGGCCCTGATCCAGGCAGTGGAGCCCTGACCCAGGCAGTGGGGCCCTGATCCAGGCAGTGGGGCCCTGACCCAGGCAGTGGGGCCCTGACCCAGGCAGTGGAGCCCTGACCCAGGCAGTGGGGCCCTGACCCAGGCAGTGGGGCCCTGACCCAGGCAGTGGGGCCCTGACCCAGGCAGTGGGGCCCTGTCCCAGTCAGTGGGGCCCTGATCCAGGCAGTGGGGCCCTGACCCAGGCAGTGGGGCCCTGGCCCAGGCAGTGGGGCCCTGATCCAGGCAGTGGGGTCCTGATCCAGGCAGTGGGGCCCTGACCCAGGCAGTGGTGTCCTGATCCAGGCAGTGGGGCCCTGACCCAGGCAGTGGGGCCCTGACCCAGGCAGTGGGGCCCTGACCCAGGCAGTGGGGCCCTGACCCAGGCAGTGGGGCCCTGACCCAGGCAGTGGTGTCCTGATCCAGGCAGTGGTGTCCTGATCCAGGCAGTGGGGCCCTGACCCAGGCAGTGGGGCCCTGTCCCAGGCAGTGGTGTCCTGATCCAGGCAGTGGGGCCCTGACGCAGGCAGTGGGGCCCTGTCCCAGGCAGTGGGGCCCTGACCCAGGCAGTGGGGCCCTGACCCAGGCAGTGGGGCCCTGACCCAGGCAGTGGGGCCCTGACCCAGGCAGTGGGGCCCTGATCCAGGCAGTGGGGCCCTGACCCAGGCAGTGGGGCCCTGACCCAGGCAGTGGGGCCCTGACCCAGGCAGTGGTGTCCTGATCCAGGCAGTGGGGCCCTGACCCAGGCAGTGGGGCCCTGTCCCAGGCAGTGGTGTCCTGATCCAGGCAGTGGGGCCCTGACGCAGGCAGTGGGGCCCTGTCCCAGGCAGTGGGGCCCTGACCCAGGCAGTGGGGCCCTGACCCAGGCAGTGGGGCCCTGATCCAGGCAGTGGGGCCCTGATCCAGGCAGTGGTGTCCTGACCCAGGCAGTGGGGCCCTGATCCAGGCAGTGGGGCCCTGACCCAGGCAGTGGGGCCCTGGCCCAGGCAGTGGTGTCCTGATCCAGGCAGTGGTGTCCTGATCCAGGCAGTGGGGCCCTGACCCAGGCAGTGGGGCCCTGTCCCAGGCAGTGGTGTCCTGATCCAGGCAGTGGGGCCCTGACCCAGGCAGTGGGGCCCTGTCCCAGGCAGTGGGGCCCTGACCCAGGCAGTGGGGCCCTGACCCAGGCAGTGGGGCCCTGACCCAGGCAGTGGTGTCCTGACCCAGGCAGTGGGGCCCTGACCCAGGCAGTGGGGCCCTGATCCAGGCAGTGGTATCCTGACCCAGGCAGTGGTGTCCTGACCCAGGCAGTGGGGCCCTGACCCAGGCAGTGGGGCCCTGACCCAGGCAGTGGGGCCCTGACCCAGGCAGTGGGGCCCTGACCCAGGCAGTGGTGTCCTGATCCAGGCAGTGGTGTCCTGATCCAGGCAGTGGGGCCCTGACCCAGGCAGTGGGGCCCTGTCCCAGGCAGTGGGGCCCTGATCCAGGCAGTGGGGCCCTGACGCAGGCAGTGGGGCCCTGACCCAGGCATTGGGGCCCTGATCCAGGCAGTGGAGCCCTGACCCAGGCAGTGGGGCCCTGACCCAGGCAGTGGGGCCCTGACCCAGGCAGTGGGGCCCTGACCCAGGCAGTGGGGCCCTGATCCAGGCAGTGGGGTCCTGACCCAGGCAGTGGGGCCCTGACCCAGGCAGTGGGGCCCTGATCCAGGCAGTGGTGTCCTGGCCCAGGCAGTGGGGCCCTGACCCAGGCAGTGGGGCCCTGACCCAGGCAGTGGGGCCCTGTCCCAGGCAGTGGGGCCCTGACCCAGGCAGTGGGGCCCTGATCCAGGCAGTGGGGCCCTGACCCAGGCAGTGGGGCCCTGATCCAGGCAGTGGGGCCCTGACCCAGGCAGTGGTATTGGGGCTCCCGGGGAAGTGGCAGCAGAGGTCAGGGGTGTGGGCCTCTGTGCGGTTGGATGACTCTGCTTCCTGCAGAGAGAGTGAACAGGTTTGCAGGGAGGGCACTTGGGAGAGCAGGAAGCAGATGTTCTGTGGGCGACGGGGGTGGGAGCAGGGGTGTGCATCTGGCTGGTGGCTGAAAAGGGCAGGGAGCCCTCTGGCCTGCATTTCCACCTCAGGGAAGGAGGGTGCCCCAGCCAAGCAGACAGCACTGTGTCTGGCAGATCTTGCAGTGATGGGATCACAGGGCCCCTTGGAGGGACATGGCTCAGAAAAGCCCTGTCAAGGGAAGACCTTGAGATGGCACTGTTCCACCCTTACCCAGGAGACACTCGGGGATTAGAAATTCAATAAAGAAAATCTGCAAACCAGCTACACCCCAGTGTGCCAGGTAGGGGAGGGCTTTCCCCTGACACCTGGTATAAAAGTACACAGTCCCCTCAGATCCTGGACTGGACCCCAGGGCAGGTCCTTTCCCGTGACCCGAATGTGCTTCCTGTTCGCGGAGCAGCCGGCAAAGCTGCTGAGGTCATGCCCAGCCCTGGGCTGTGGAGCTGGTCTCCTGACCCTCCCCACGACCTCAGTGGAGGCAGTGGCTTTGGTGAAACCTGCACCAAGGAGACAAATGTGATTCACTGAGTGACATAATCATGTCACATCTAAATTTTCAAATTTTTCCTTTGAGACAGGGTCTCAGTAGGTTGCTCACAGCCTCTCTAAGTGGCCGAGGCTGCTATGAACCTACAATCCCCTGTTTCAGCCTCCTGAGCCACTGGGATTACAGGCATGTGCCACCACACCTGGCAGGAGCATCCTCTAAAATACTTCTGTACTCCAAGTCAAGGAAGGAACTGGCTAAATAGCTCCACGCCATACTGTCATCCCTAGATGTTTAACAGGATTGTAATGAGAATGTTTGCATTTTTCCTCCCTGAGGCACACAAACAATTGTGTTAATTCCTTTCTTTATATAGACATAGAACATACTCTCAGGAAAAAAAAATAGTCTTTGTCAAAATTGGGCAAAGTTACCTAAGAGCCCAGGCATAACAAATGCTGAAGTCCAGTGAATGACTAGAACAAGGGACCCTTGGATAAGGGGTAGTTTCAGATGGAATGACTTCTGTATTTTGTAGTAGGGTACATTGTTTTCTTTTCCAAAGCGTAACTCCTAGGGGGAGAACAGTTATTCTCATGTACTTGGTGATGTCTCTGGAGTGTGTGTTTGCAGTTAGCCGTCTTGGCCAGGAGAGGCATTTTAACTCTGGGTCTCTGCTGCTGGCTCCCCTGAGCTCCCCGGACCTTGCACTGCACTAGAAGGCACAGCCCCACATCCAAGGTGGTGCATAGCTGTATTCCCAGCATCTCAGGAGGCTGAGGCAGGAGGATCACAAGCTCAAGACAGGCTGAGCATCTCAGCAACACCCGGTCACAGGGCTTGGGAAGAGCCAACTTCTCCGTGCTGGTGGGGACTCCCCTCTCTTGGGAATATCAGGAAATGGGGAGGAGCGGGGGGAGTGGGGAGGGCTGGCAGAGAGACTAGAATGTGTCTAGGCAGGAGGAGGAGGGAGGTGTCAGGGCTGACAGGATGGCCTCGTGCAGACTGAGAAGGCTCTGCAGTGGCAGGCAGCTCAGGGGCTAAGGGTGGTCTTTGTGAAGAGGGTGGGAGGAGCAGCGGGCTGGACAGTGACCTGGAGACACTGGGGCAGGTCCTCATGTCATCTTATAAGCTGGCCTCCCAGACGCACCTGCTCCTCTGTCCTGTCCCAGAGATGGGATTCTAGCAGACCTCACGTAGGTCTGTCCAAAATCACACCCAGAGGCACAGGAAGCTGAGTGAGTGACTTTCATCTACAAGCTTTTATCAGACTGCATGAGTTTGCAGCCGCTGCCAGTCCCACCGTGCAGCCAGGGGACGTGACAGCACTCACAATTGTGGGGGCCTGAGTTCGACAGCCAGTGTAGTCAGGGCTGCTGCCCGCTGAGGCCTCCCTCCCCGTGTCCTCAAAGTGATACTTCTGGGAGTCTGTGGCCTGATTTCCTCTGCTGTAAGGACACTGCGCACATCTGATTAGGGCCACCTACATGGTCTCATTGACCCTGTCTCCAAATAGGGGCACATTCTGAGCTACTTGGGTTAGGACTTCAAAATAAGGATCCTGGGAGAGGTCATGTGGTCCCAGCCCTGTGAAGACAACTTAGTCTAAATCCACCTAGTAAGGCCATTTTGATCTACACCAATCCCGTGGGACCGTTTAATCAACACCAGTCCCGTGAGGACACTTTAATGAGGCTTTACTGGATTTGTATTGATTAATCTACACCAATCCTACGAGGACACTTTAACCTATCCCAATCCAGGGAGGCCACGTTACTCCACCCCAGTCCCCTGCAGCCTTTCTGATCAGCACCATCCCCGTGAGGACTGTCCTATCCACCACGGGAGCTCCTTCACCAGGCAAAGGGGCCTTCCACCCTGTATCTGTTGGTTGAATTCTTCTGCTCTAAGTTCTCAGGATAACCCCCAAATATGTCGTCTACTGTGTGACAATTAAGAATAAAAACATGCCAGGCGTGGTGGCGCACCTCTGTGATCCCAGTGGCTTGAGAGGCTGAGGCAGGAGGATCGCAAGTTCAAAGGCAGCCTCAGCAGAAGCGAGGTGTTTAGCAACTCAGTGAGACCCTGTCTCTAAATAAAATCAAAATAGGGCTGGGAAGTGGCTCAGGGGTCGAGTGTCCCAGAGTTCAATCCCTGGTTACCTCCCTCCAAAAAAAAAATAAAACTTTCATAAAATAAATTAAAAAACACTTAAGATGTTAAGAAAAAGAGTGACTTACAGGGGAGACTCCTCCAAGGATTGGAATGAAAATCCCAGATGTAGCAGTGGCCTCACTGCTGCTGCCCTCTGAAAACTCAGCGTCTCGGTCCTGGGCTTGGCAAGCTCCTCAGCAGCTTCCCAGGAGGTCCTGAGTGAAGCAGCCAGGCTGGGCCCGGCCTCGCTGGCTCCTGGCTGGGGACGGTGCTGTCCCTGGCCAGGCCTGGCTGTGCAGCCCCTCTGTCAGCTGGGGTTCCTGGTCTGTAGGGAGGGCTGGTCGGAAAGTCCAGTTCTGCTGAGGGGACTGGGCAGTGGCAGAGCGCTCTGTCACCGACGTCCTCCCCTTGCAGCTCTCTTTGGCACCCTGTTCGAGAGGAACAAGGAAGCGGCTTTCGCCAGTTACCGCATGTGGGAGGCCCTCGGCTTCGTCGCCGCCTTCGGCTACAGCTCCTTTCTCTGTGTCAGTGTCAAGCTCTACATCCTGCTGGGCGTCCTGGCGGTGGCCATGGTCTCCTACGGGACTGTTGAGTACCTGGAATCCAGGAGCCCGGTCAAGACCCTCACGGCCACACAGACCAGCCAAGCAGTGGAGGAAGAGACGGGGACGGCGATGTGACAGCAGTGGGCCATGGTGAGGGACTTCCACCACCCGAGTTCCAAAGGGGTGCGACGAGCCGGCTGAACGCAGGGAGGCAGCCTCCTGAGCCCACAGAGGGGTCTCCACATTCACATGGCAGATTCAGGACTTGCTTCCTGTCCGATGCTGATCTCCCAGAGGCTCGCACACCATCAGGAACCGGGGCCGCCCTGAACAGGGCCATGCACACACCTCGATGTCCTGAGTAAACAGGTGCTGGACTGCATTGCACCTCAGTGCAAGGGGTTCTGACCTCCGCCTGGATAGAAAGGTGCAGCTCTGGCAGTGGGCGTCTCCCGATGGGGTTGAATCACACCCCCTGTGGGTTGTCAGCCTAGCCTTTGCCCTTTTGTGGATAGAATGTTCCATGCGTTAGCCCCCCCCCCCCCCCCATTAATAAAACCCAGGTTTGAGGCAGGCTCCCTCTGTCTTGCCTCCTTGGTGGGAGCTGGGTCAGAGAGGCCATCACTGAACCCAAAGAAAGAGGTATTTCTCTGTCATTGCGTCCTGCCAGCCCAGTTCACCTGCAGGACCCTGACTGTTTAGTCGTGTGTTGTGACAATCAGGGAAGTGACTGGGCGTGCTGCAGACCAGCGGAATCATCCAGAATGCCTCCAACTGGGCAGGGACAGAGGACCTTGCCATGCCTGAGCTGGGCCACAGGTGTCTGTCACTACTTCCTGGGTGCACTGTCCCTTACGTGTCTCCTCCTTGCCGCGGGCAGTGCTGTCCACACTCTCTCCACACTGTCCTTCTTGGTCCCAGTGGTTCGGTGTCCTTTCACCTCTGCCCAAGCCCCTCTCCCTGCCCCCTTGAATTTGTGCCCGGCTCCAGGTGCCCTCTGTGCAGACGGCTCACCACGCCATCACACACTGTTGGCAGAGCGTCTCCTCCAGTGGAACTCGGCCTCCCAGCGTGTAGCGTGCCCTCCGGCAGCTGCCACGCCGTGGCAAGTGGAGAGAAGGCCATCCCAAGAGCCCTGGTGCGTTCCAGCCACGGGCTCCCTGCATCCATGGTCCCCTCCCCAGTGCTCCCTGAGCCCCGTGACGGACGGTGGCCTCTGTCTGCAGATGAAACAAGGGCAGATGCTGGGGTGGACCTTCCTTCTCCAGCCAGCACTGGCCAAGAGGGCACAGGCCAAGAAATACACCCTGCACTGCCACACGGGACGTTCCTGGCCCCTGGAGTGTCACTTTGCCCCAAGCTGAGCTTGGCCTCTCCCCCCTGCAGAATTCCCCGTGTCCCTCGTGTCCAGGATGCAGTGCCCTTCCTGCTGTCTCCAGGCTCAGCCTGGCTGTGCCATGTGCAGTGAGCTGTGGTTCCGCTCTCCTCCGGCCCGTGGGGTCGCCTCGTGCTCCCTGCTCCCTGCAGGGCCCCTCTGCTCACTTCCTGCCCTCTCACTGGTCTTACACCTACCATTTTCCCTGCAACCTGGGCTACTAAACAAGAGGATTGTGCTACAGCCCAAGCCCCCGGGGGGCTCTCCTGTCCACTGCTCACCGTCTGGACTCCTGCCCAGGAAGCACCTGCCAAACCTCATCCTCAGAATTTCTCTTAGACATTTCTTCCTTCCCTCCCAACACCTTTGCCCTCCCCTTTCAGCCCCCCCCTTGCAGGCCCCCCCACGCACCCTTATCTGTAAGGTCCCTGACTGACCATGGCTCCTACACATGGAGCTTGGGTCACTGCAAAGAGCCAAATCTGGCAGCCCTGACTTGTTTAATCCTCGCCTAAGGGAGGCTCAAGGAGCCCACAGACACGTCTGATGCTCCGGGCGGCCTGTCGTGAGCTGGAGTGAGCCACATGGGTGGGTGGACGTGGCCTGGAGGATGAAGCCGAGAGGGGTCAGTCCTGCTGCTGGAGGCCACCCCCTACTCTCCCTGAGCCTAGGGTGGTGCTGGACAGTGCTGCCTCCCCAGGAGACTGGAGCCTTCTTCTCCTGGGCCTCCACTTCCAGGCTTCATAAAGCCACTTAACCTGTGTCATTTACACAGTGAGGTAAAGTGCTCCCAATAGTTTACTGTAGTGACAGAGATGCTGGCAAAATAATGCAAAATAAAAATTAGAGAAGGCAGAGGCATCCCACAAGTTCTATAGTCTCATGTCCAACTCAAGAACAAGAGATTCGTTTCTTCCACATCCATTTCCAGGCCTGAGTCAAAATGACTCTCATGGTGGGGCCCTGACTCCAGCCACTCCAGAACATTCTCTCTTAGAGCCCTGAGCAGCTTCTCCCAGGCCTGGTGCAGACCACACAGAACTCCTGAATCGGGGGCTGGAGGCGGCACTGAAAAACCAGCCTCTATCTCAGAGCAAAGCCTGTCCAAGGAAGGGACATGGCCTTTGTCCTTGGAAAAACCCACAGAGCACTCCTAGGCACATTCCTGCTAAGTTGTTTATCTACAAATAACAGGAGAGATCTGCTGCGCCAGGAGTCCCTGACTCAGTCAGGCTAGGAGAGACCCATAGCAGCCCCCTAGCAGCCACCAATCAGTGTGAGACAGGGAAATATCTGGGATGCCAGATGACCCTCCAGTAGTTTATGGTGGTTGATAACATTTTGGGAAACCATGTAGTTCAGCACGTACACCCCTCGTGGCCTAAACCAATCAGTTCAAATGAATCCCCCTCTTGTACTGACCAATCACCCCTACCCAACTTGTTCCCGCCAGTGAATGTGCTAATCATGTTTTAGAGTTGTTATTTGATTTTCCTGCGGTGTGTGATGATTTGCTATGATGTATGTGAAGTCCCTGCCTTCTCCAAAGAATGTATAAAACTGCTGCAAACCCTGGGCTCGGGGTCTCTCAGCATCACCAGTTGCTGTGTGTGCGCGCGGAGGACCGAGCTAGCTTGCATTAAACACCTCTTTGCTGCTTACATTGATCTTGGGTCTCTGGTGGTCTTTGGGGGTCCCGAATTCGAGCATAACAGCACCTCTCCTCTTGGACTTCCTTCCCCTGGGTTTAGACCCTGGAAGGGGCAGGGAATCCAGAAAGCTGCATGTCTGCTGGAAGGTGAGCCTGAAAGGCAGCCAGTCAAGGGGCCAACCCACCCTAGGCCCTGAGGCCCTGGAGGACTCCACCCTGTCAGGTCCTGAGAGCCCAGACCAATTATGGGTGCCCCCTGGTGGGCAGGGAGTGAACCACGGTTAACAGAAGTCTCTCAGAGAACCCTGACCTGCTGGCCCCACCTGGTGGGTTGGGTTAGTTTTGTTTTGTGTGTGGGTGTTTTAGAACTGGGATAGAACCCCGGTGCACTGAACCACTGAGCTCTGTCCCAGCCCTTTTTACTTATTTATAGTTTAAATCATGAGTCGGGGTCTCACCAAGTTGCCTTGGGCCTTGCTCAATTGCCTATGCAATCGCACAATGGCCTAGGACCAGATTGAGGGCTGAAATGCAGCTGTTTGCTCTGAGGTCCTGAGGTCGTGTTGGCAGAGTTGGTGACCCACCTCTGAGTCCCATCCCATTTTTTATACTTTGACTAGAGCTTTAGAGAATCCCAAGGACCTGCTTGGATCTGTTCTTCCCAAAGCATCCACCCAGTTGCCCACTGGTTGAGCCCTTGAAGTCTCCCTGTTCTCATGTGTGTGCCCTCCCCACCAGCTGGATCGTGACATGCTGAGGGACCCTGAGCAGCCTCATAAGTCTTCCGCGTGCCTGCAGAGGTGGCTTGGCTGGACGTCAGGTGCTCAGAGGGCCTGCCTCCCAGCGGTAGGCCAGGGCCGTAGGGAGCACACCTGACTCCCTTGGCCTCCCCTCCAACCCCGCTGCCCCACGGAGTCACTGCAAAGCCCAGAGCCACCTGATCTGGGAACCTCTGTCTGTCCTCCAACATCCCTTTGTCATTGCTGTCCTCTCTGGGGTGGGGGGACCAGGTGGCACATACAGTGCCTCGTCTTCCCAGTGTTCCTGAAGCTTCCTGCCCAGGCCAACCTACTTCAAAAGCCCTCTAATCTGACGTCTTTCAGACGGACCCTCCTCTCCACCTCCAGGCAGAGAGAGCACATCCTGCCCCAGCCTTCCAACCCCTCTTATCTGACATGGGTAGGGAGTCACGGAGTCCTCAGAGCGTCATCACAGCGAGCAGAAGCTGCTCCAGACTAGAGCCCCTTGGCGACGGGCCAGATGCAGGTCTTCCACGGCCACAGGGATGTGGGAAAGTGCATGCAGTTGTGAGGGACTTCACGTGTGGTGGCAGGGCTGTGTGTGACTTTACGTGTGTGGCAGGGCTGTGTGTGACTTTACGTGTGTGGCAGGGCTGAGGGACTTCACGTGTGGGGGCAGGGCTGTGTGTGACTCTTGCACAGGGACATTTGCCATTTGGACCCTTTCCCCATGACGACACTGGACACTGTACTTCATGACTGTGTAGAGGACAGTGAGTCCAGGCTGGACCACGTTCCTGTTTTCTCTTTGATCTTAGAAGTCATTAAAGCATTGTCCTGGGTCCCTGTGGCATATGGACCCCGAGTGCTGGGCTTCTTGTGCCTAATGGGAAATTCTGTCCTGGGGTTCAACCCAGATCTTCAGGGAGTAGCTCTGGGGGTTTTTACAGTGATGGTCCCGTGCAGCCAAGACTCAGGGAAGATGAGGGACGCGTCAGCATGCACACAGGGTCCCCATCCCCGTCGTCCTCCCCGCGCTCCTCAGTGTTGCCTGTTGGAGACTTTCTAAGTGTGTGCGGATTCATCTGGCTCCTGTGGCTCAGCACGACACTGAGAGACTTGCCCATGTCACACGTAGCACAAGCTCTTGTTGAAAACCCTTCTGGGCCACGTTCCATTGTGTGGACACAGAGAACTTTGTGCATCCCTCCTGCTGTCAGCAGACATTTGAGTTGAGTCAGAGGGTTCTGTCCAAAAGTCTGCTGTGCACATCCTTGTACGTGTATCTTAGTGGGCAGACATGCTCATGGCTCTTGGGCTTATACATAGAAAATACATAAAGTAGGTATTTTCAGAATTGGAGTTAAGATTGTTTCCAAAGCAAGGTTGAAGATATTTACTCTCCCTTTTCCTGAGATTTGATTTTTTAGGATTTGTTGTGGCAGGGGTAGTAATGGTCACTGAACCAGGCTCTGCCATCTCAGAGTGTGGTCCTAGGACCAGTGGTGTCACGGAAATACGGGAAAGCATGGCACTGGAAAGAGACAAGCAGACTGGGAGACGTGGAAATGCGAGATCTATCCAGCCAGTGCAGGCTCAGGGGCGTCTTTTCCAAAGACAGAGCACTGCCCTCGGTTCTCAGGACTCTCGCAGTGCGGACTCCTGGGTTTCCGGACTTTCTCTTGCGAGTCTCCTTGCCGCCCCCCCTTTTCCAGCAGCTCTGCTTCCTGCCGTAGCTGCTGAGCTGCCTGATGACAGACCACAGCCCAGGAGCTCTCAGCTATCAACACAGGTAGAGCGGGCATCTTAGGAAGGAGTTGTGCTTCATTTCCCACCTCTTGATGCTCAGGATACACCGTTCTTACCACCGTTGGTCTCCTCTCCTGAGTAACACATGAGAGGCCGTCTCTTTGTTAACCACCATTTTTAGGAAACTCCTTGGGAAGAGCAAGGAATAAGCAAGCACCTAGCAAACATAGCCACAGTCATGCCCAGCGTCATCTTAATTCCTCTTACCCAGGAGAACCATCCTCCAAAAAGGGTTTCGGGGTCCCATTTTTCAAGTCTGCACAGGCACATGGGCAATACTTACCACATGATCTCTGACCTTTTCTGTGACTCTTCCTGTGTCCTCGGTTTGTAGACAATAGTTACTCAAGTTCCATGTCGTTTTCTGGTTTGATCCAGTTACTGGATGCGTGGGTCACACGAGGAGGTGGAATCTGGCAGGACTGTGGGGAGATCAATTTGGCAAGCAATGAGCATCTGCACTGGGAAAGGAGACCGTGTACAGCAGTGGGAGATGCTTGTAGGGAATGAAACGGTTTTTACCTGGCATTCAAATCCTCAGGCTTCCACCGTGGGCTGACAGACCAGCTTCCTGTGTGGCCAGAGCCGGGCTTTGAGATCCTTGTCCCCTGCTTTGTATGGTCAGGCACAGGGTCTCTCTGACTTGAGGACTGTCCTCCTCTCCCCCGGTCCTCAGTTGGCCGGCAGCTTTGGCCCTGCAGCGGGAGATCCTGGCTTCTGTTCCTGCTACTTTGAGAGCAGGAGGGTGTGGTTAAGGTCACTGTGTGGGGACCCCTCCCTCCTCACAGGTTTTAAGGGCACCTCCTTCAGTCTGTCTGTCCACCTGCAGCTTCCTGAGATAGTGTCCCCATAGGAGAAATGGGGATGGGCAAGTGGGGTTGTGGTGATAGCTTGTCTTGATGGAGTCACAGCAAGTCGGGGTCACGAGGTGAGAGGCTCCAGTCCACAAACGGGAGCCGGATCAGACCAGCCACAGTACAGAGCATCCTGTCAAAGGGAGGTTTGGTCTCCTTTACCATGTGCCATCTGCCAGGAGGGGCCGGGTCTTGTTGGCCACCTGTGGCTTCCCTTGGAAGTGTTAGGGGCATTTTTCATTTTATTTACCAACTGATAAAAATGCAGATAATACTCAAATATGTATTACCCGCAATCTCATCTATGTTTAATCCAATTTACTCGATTTTAATTGTTAACTTTAGGTTATCCATAAACCAAGACATTGGACAATTGTTGTTAACAGTTCAAGCCTCTGTTCTTCCAGAGAAAGTCCTAGAAGCAGTGGATAGTGTTAGAGTGTGTAAACAAGTCAAAATAACACCTGGCAATTTGCCAGGGGAATGTTAGAGTTCATAAACAAGTCTGGATGGTGCCTGGCAAAATGCCAGAGGGAGTGGTTTGAGAAGTAACAAAAGCGAGCCATTAAGTGTGGAGATTCCTGATTGGTTGACTGATGTATCTAGTTTATGCTAATTAGATAAGCTGTGTGGAATGTATAAATACTGCTCCTGTCCTGCAATAAACGGCTCCCTCTCCTGCTGTATCAACGTGCACAAGTTATTCGTCACCCCCCCGCTAGTTTGCTGCAGCTGGACTGGGGCAGATGGTGGCCCGTACGGGGAGCCCCGGGACACTTGGGGGTAAGTGACAAAAAAAAAGCTGCCCGTCCATAGATAGGACGGGAGCAAATCTGCTCGTCCCTAGGCAGATAGGGCGAGAGGAAAAATGGCCATTTTGAGAAAATGGAGAAGATTGATACAGTATGTTTGTGTCTTGTTTTGTCTCAGTGTATTATATTGTCTTTGTGACGAAAATATGGAAGGGGTGAGAAGTAAATTACTAAGGGAAGAAGGCACCCCAGTGGAACCAAGAATAGTTAGGGCATGTGTCGATAAGAGCCCAGGAACTCTAGTCAGAAAGAAAAAGAAAGTTCAGAAGAAGAAGGATTATCAGGAAAAAAGTTGCAGCAAAAGGCTATTACTAAATACTTTTCGTTACCGGAGGGTGCGTGAAGCGGAGAGGCGGCTGCTGAGTGTGCAAGCCGGTCACAGCGCAGCAAGGATTTTCCAAGAGGCGGTGGCGACTGGCCCTTCCCCGCCTCCTGGCTGGGGAGCTGGCTCTTCCACTGCCGCAAGCCCAAATCTAGACCTGACCTGGAGGCACAGTCTCGCAGGCTCTTGCTCCCTGTGCCCAGTAGCAGTTTGAGTCCGGGACACTCCCCAGGGCCATCTGGGGCTGCCCAGGCACTACAGCCAGCAGAAGATGCTACTGGTGTCCCTGATGTTTGGTCATTTTCAATGCCAATAACTAAGCTACAATGGTTCTCCCATACCTGGAAGCTAATGAGTAATGAGCACTATTAATGCTTATTTCAAATGTAAAAAACCTTGAGATAACGTACTAAATTGTTCAGAAGGTTGTAGTGGAATGCTACAGGATTTTCTTTAACATCATTGCTGGAGTTCCTGCC